TTCCATTCCAGTTGAGCCACCAGTTTGCTGACCGGCGCCCTGGTTACCTCCCTGCTCATTTCCTTGACCAGTTCCTTGTCCCCAGGGGATGGTAAAGCCACCTCCATTATTCATTCCAGTCGAAGCGCCGGGTTGAGTACCAGAGTTTCCATTCTGGTTACCGTCAGCACTGCAGTTGTTGAAAACACCTACACAAAGATAGTCAGCAGAAGTTTCTAAACACCCAATGGCAGGAGAACTTACTGTTGGCATAGTAAGCAAATGAATCGGCGTTATTCTTGGCCTGCGCAGTGCTCAATTGAAGCACACCATCAAGCCCATACACAACATCCTCCGTACCCGGCGCATAGACGCTAGTAGCATGCGAGAACTCATGGAGCGAGATAGCCGCCTGATCCAGATATCCACACTGGTTCACCACCTGCTGTGTCTCATAGTATGCTTGGCAGTTGACCACACGGTTTAGTGTTGGGTATGTAATGGCGGCAATGTTGCCGCCGCAGGAATCCTGCGCCGATGGCTGACAGTAGTAGTTCAATGTGCCCTTCGATGTTGCTTCTTTGGCAATGGCCTCCAAGCGCTCCGCAACCTCCTTCTTGTCAGCCTCATCCTGGGACTTGAAGAACTTCTGGAACAGTCCACTGCTACCGTCGCGGGCATCCGCAGCGGCGGCCTCGGCCATCTTGGCGGCCTGCGCAAGGTTTTCCTGCATCAGCTTGTTCTGTTCGCCACTGCAGCTTTCGAGGGTGGCGCGGGTAGCAAGGCGGTTGGCAGAGTCCTCGGGAGCATCGAAGTCGATGGTGTTGGATGTGTAAGGTACGACGAAGAACTTCTTGGGGTTGTTCAGCTTCGTGTATTCGAGATTGCCGTCCGCAATCGCGGAGTACTTCTGTCCGGCAACAAGGTCGTGGGAGTCGGCGATGTCGAAGATGGACTCGATTGTTTGCTTCGGGGCGAGTTCCATGAAGGCGTCATCATTCAGGTGCGAGTTGATGTAGTCGACTTCCGCACCGGTGAAAGTTGGGTTGCCATCTTTTCTCTTTTGTTAATCATTTTGTGCTGATATGCACATGAAGATGTGGACCTACCAGATCCAGACACAGCCACCTTCTTAGTGGGAAGCTCGTTATCGAGGAGACCACCCCTCTTGACAACACGGAGATTCTCATCGGCAATATTAGTGATGAAGGCTTTCACAGTCGAGTTTCCGAGCGCCTGCAGCTGAACATCGATCAGGTTGCGAGCACCGTCCTGCGGCGCTCCCGAAGCCTGCCTCGGAATAAGAACCGGCTTACCAGCAGCCAAGGTCAAAAGACCGAAGAAATGAACGAGTTGAATGAATGACATCCTGAACGGAGAAAAGGAGGGAGAAGATAAAAAAGGAAAGAAAGGAGTGAGTGATTTGGATACGAAAAGGCACCGGTCTTAGGCCTGGTTTTATACATTGTATGACCCTGACAAAAAGATAATCGACTGATCATGGCGTTTCGCATTGGCTAATGGACTTTCCTAATGGTTACATTGTTACCCAATCGATTAATTTGTTTCTGATGGATACATCTATCCTCCTCGCCATCGTGGTCTTGGCTGCTGACACTTGATACAATGGGTCAGCGGCTATAGATCTGGCACAGGGTCCGATGATGGCTTGAAAACTCCATCCACCACCAATAACGGTAATATGTACGGCTTCTGGGCAAGAATCAGGTAAATGAAACGGCCGTGGGGTCTCGAGATCTAGACTAGATGAGGCAGATCATGGCTGCAACAGGCTAGGAGATCTGATGCGAGAAGATATCATGCTACAGGAAAAGTAAGTTAAGATCGAGAAAATTCCGAGGCCAAAACCGCCGCATCACCCTCGATAGCATAGAAGCAAGTATCTTCAGCGCTCCACCCGAGCATATTCCGTATGGGGGTCATGAGGCAGATCAACCCAGACCCATTAGCTAAGGCAGGGGCGCCCTATCTGAAACGCTTAGCTGCCTTAGCCAGATTCAGGGTCCGAGAAGAATACTACCTTCCATTCTGGGCTCAATCCACATTAACCCGAGATACGTGGGAGTGCATGGCAATTATGTCACATTTTCATGGACCCCCATGCTAAAAGCCCCAAGTGAATGGGGTTAAGAGGGTTAAAATAGGAATTAAGGAGCGTGGAAGTGGGGACGAGTCCCTAGGTCGTTTCAGGGGTTCCACGCCCTACCGAATTGCCAGATTCCTATGCTCAGTTTTAATCTTTTAAGGTTGAGCCCGTTTCAAACGCATCCAACGGTTGCACTACGACAGGCTCGGGATCTGCGACCTACGGTGAACTTTGAAGGATTTCTGTTTGAACTGCCGCTTGACATGAAACCGTCCCGGATGGTTCGGAGGTTGAAAGTACGGTCGGTATATCTTGGCACGGCACTGCTCGGAATCGAGGTCAGTTGGTATATCATAGTGCTATGGTATGTGGTCCCAACATGGTATCTGCATGGATGTTGACATCCCCTTACATAATGAAAAAGCTTGGGGTAACTAGCTGGTGGTATGCTCAGCTACTATAGTCTTATGCCCCGGTTTGAATATTCAAGCATGCAGTGCAAAGACCGAAACCACGGACCGGTCCTACTTGGCAACGCTAGTTTAGCCAGAGAGAAAGAATAGGTACGCTACATGGAGATTTTGCCCGAACGGGAAAAAAAGTGAGGGTTAACGTGTTTAGTCTAGAGCACTTGAAAGCGGAGGTAAGGGGAGTCCACCCGCTGAGAAGCCTTCCCTAAGATGCTTTTCTTCACCGCGGAAAACAGAGCCGTCCCAGAGCACGACGAGAATATCCATTGCCAAGTTATTCTTAATTAAGGGTTTAAATCTTAAGCCGCATTTGGCATGGCAATGCCGATCTTGTAGCTGCCATTGATTTAATGCCGCAGTGAAGGTTCGGTCGATCAGGGTATTGCCCCCGCGGTCCAAGAACGCAGGATTCCTAGTCTTATATCGCACCTTCAATGTATCCACAAACATGACTTCTGTTGCCAGTGCCAGGGGGATATCCTGCATGTGATCTGGCAACAGTGGGACTTTTGAGCCGTGTCTACGGAGTAATGTTCTTGGTACTTGATGTGCTGAGTGTGGGAGTGGAGCCTTGGGTACATCGTTCGACTGTCTCGTCCGAACCGCCCGATGATTACAAATACTATGCACTGAGAACTATTCTGGCGAGGTATACTTGTCGTTCTGAATATCGCTGCAAATAGTTGCGATTGAGGGCTTCTAGACGAGGAAGCTCCACACCGAGACACGATCTCCGCGATCAGGAGATTACGCAACCGTCAACCTCTAGTGATTTAACCTTTCCACTATGTCGTGTAAGGAATTGCCTCACTCTTATGCACTAGACACCGAGTGGTTATTCCCATCGCGAGTGATGCATCTCAGGGGCACCCTCGCAATATACCCTGCCGTGCCACCTGGGTTTGGGAAGTCACCGACTCCCTGACCTCTCTACCCCCCTGAACTACTATTACTAAAGGGGAGACTTTCGAATTGGAAAGACAGACACATATGAACGCAATTAGGGGTTATAGAGGTGATGAACATGTCGTGTCTTCTCATGTTTATCAAACGTGGATAATGAAAGGAGGGCATACAGCCTGACCTCACTCACCCATTCGCTACCAAAAAGAGCGCTCGAAGAAGTTCGAGGAAGCATGACCTGCAATGATATTAACATTTCACAGACCATCATCACTGCATCACTATGGTATCAGTATACCATGTCTGCGAAATTGTTTTCCGGTGCCAATTCATCCGTCGATGTCATGCCTGGGAACAAAAGACTCATGCATGGCTAGAGCCAAGCGTTAGCTCTTGATTTCGAGGGTAGAGAAAGCCCATGTAGACTTACAAGGCCACAGGTGATGCTACTCAAGGGTGACTACTACACGAGAGAAACATCCTGCGTGTGTGGTCATGCATACAGACATATCAAAATCTCTGATGATATTTCCCACAGCCTTCGGGTCTTAGCGAGATTGTTACCCTGCTGCAAGATACGCTATACTCGAATAGTCTAGTTGCATTAGAGGCCGTGGGGGCAGCTGGGAAGATTCACTCTTCACAATGCCTATCTACCACGTTTCATAGCTACATATGAGTATAACTGCGTTATGCGTTCATGCGATTACAACGAGCTCATTCTTTTACAATTGAGGTCTTCTGATTTACTGTTCCCTTTTTATCGCTGTTGTGCCATTTGAATGCCTGGATTATCACGGCCCAAAGCATACTACTCCCGACATACTATCTCATGGCTATCGTACCAATGCAGATTGCAGTGACACCTTGAGATAACCGAGTTTGTTGCATCTTATCATTGACACAAAGGCACTGTGGAGCAAGAGGGAACAGAAAGCATCGGAGGTCCGATCGCCCAAGGAAGTCTCTCAAGCCAATAACAAGCAACAAATGGCCGCAAGCGAAATGACTAAGAAGGCCAAGCAGAGAGGAATGTCACCTTTGTGAGGAACAATAGCATTGGCGTCTGGTTTGGTTGCGATCGGGATGCAACGTGGAGAAAATCCGATCAGTCGATACGCCCCCACGGAATGCAACCGTCGATCGTCTGGGGAATTTCCGGGGTTTGTTTATTTAGCACAGTATAACTCACCCACGTTCACCCGTCCCAAGCATCTTCTCGCAACAAGCGTCAGCCATGTGGTCAGTTAGTTTTCTTTCGCTGATTGCAGCTGCCTCGGCCTTGCAGACCCTTCCACCAGTTCAATGGACCAGCTTGGGCTCTGAGCCCGACGGGTTCGACATTGCCACAATCGACCGAAGTATCTATATCACGAATAGCTTCGCGTCGGACAGAGACGAAAATGGCTTAACACTCATTCCACCATCAGCGATTGAATTTGCAAACACCTTCCGCCAGGACTTGGAGGAAATAACGGGCGAGTCATGGAATCTTTATCCGGTTGAGGTGCTACCCGAAGGCCAAACAGGCATTTTTCTAGACAGACTAGATTACTCGCAAGGCGCGCTGACGTATGAAAATGGCGATCCCACGGAAGAAGGCTACAAGCTTCAGGTCCAAACCGGACGCGTCTCGATCCGCGGCTCCGGCGCTCGAGGAATGTGGTGGGGAACGCGAACTTTGTTGCAACAGTTGTTGATAGCTCACAGCCATCCGATCCCATCGGGCGAGGTGGTTGATGCGCCCTCGTATTCCACGCGAGGTTTCTTACTAGACGCCGGGAGGAAATGGTACTCGCCATCATACCTCAAGGACCTATGCACGTATGCGTCGTTTTTCAAGCTGTCGGAATTTCAGTACCATACCAGCGACAACTACCCCTTGAGTCGTGGCCACAATGAGACCTGGCAAGATGTGTACGCACAGTTCTCCTTGCGACCGGAGAGCCCGGAGCTACAGGGACTCGTGCAGAGACCAAACGAGACACTCTCTCGGGCAGATTTTGAGGACCTTCAGCAGCACTGTGCTCAACGAGGAGTGACGGTTATCCCAGAAATCGAAGCGCCTGGCCACAGTTTATTCATTACAAAATGGAAGCCACAACTGGCATTAGACAGCAAAGACCTGTTGAATTTATCCCATCCTGAGACCATTCCCCTGGTGAAGTCCATCTGGACGGAGTTTTTGCCATGGTTTCAAACAAAGGAGGTCCATATCGGTGCTGATGAGTACGATTCCACACTAGCAGACGACTACATTGATTTTGTCAACGACATGGCGGAGTTCATGGACCAAACGGCCGGCAAGACAGTTCGGATCTGGGGTACATACGAACCGTCCGACACCCGCAACATCTCAAAAGATGTCATTATTCAGCATTGGCAGTACGGACAATCCGACCCCGTCGATTTGGCCGAACAGGGCTACGAAATTATTAACTCAGAGGATTGGTGGGCTTACATGTCGTTGAAAAATGACCACATGCCGATATTTCCCGCCCCGTATCCCGATTTCTTCAATAACTCCAGGGTACTCAACTTCGCAGATAGAGATGGATGGCAGTGGACACCGGCTCTCTTCAACCCCGTGAACGTCACCGAGCAGCCTGACCCGAAGCCCGTCAAGGGTGCCATTCTGGCCGCATGGAATGACAATGGGCCGGATGCGACGACACAATTGGAGTCTTATTATGCCATCCGCAATGGCATTCCCGTTGTCGCCGCGAGGGCGTGGGCTGGAAATCGTGGACCTAGTATCGATGTATCCACTTTGCCAGACTCCATGGAACTCTTGACGTCGCAGGCCGTGGCTCAGAACCTAGACAGACAGATTCCTCGCGAGAATAAGGATGCCCATGAACTGCTCAGTTGGGCAAACTCCGTGGAGAATGCAAACAGCGACAAAATCTATCTAGGATATGGCAGCAAAGGGATGAACTACGAGTTGACTCTTGATGTTTCCGGTCCATTCATCCTGTCGTCGAATGACTCCACCCTAGCATTATCACCAGATGGCAACCTGGCCTTTGTCTCAGACGGATGGGAATATCCCTTGCGCTCCATAGAAGAAACAGCCGGGTTCGACGAAAGCTATCCAGGACGAATTTGGGCAAACGAGACCTCCTCAACGCACGAACCGGTGACAGTTCCATTGCAGAGCCACATCACTATCCAGACCGACATGATCGGTGGTAGTCGGGTCTGGGTCAACGAGGGCTTCGTCGGACGATTTGAGGTACTGGTATTTGGCGGCAAAAACCGGCTATTATCATGGAGCCAGATGGCGTTCGTGGCACCCCTGGAGTGGCTGGAAGGGGGCATCCAACGCTTGACGGTGAATGAGTTTGACGGGCAGCATTGACCAATGCAGACTGTATAAAAGTTCCGTGGATAAATAGAATCATGCAGCATACCCCTCACCTTCCAATTCACCGACTTGTGGATCCTTTACCCTTCTGTAGAGACTGCATTTATCCGTCCAGTCATGGCAGCCATTTCCCCGCATCGTAAACAAGACTTCGGAGATCCGGAGCCACGCCCGTAAAGCTTGGGTATTTTAATTTAGCAATGCAGCTCTATATATTTCCTATATTTAATTACCTTCCTCCCGCCTCATGCCCTAGAGCTCACAGCCATCCACAGACACCCCCTCACAATGCAGACCCTTTCACTCCTCCTCGGCATCCTAGCCGCAACACAAGACCTAGCCCTAGCAAAGTCTACACCAAAATGGGGCCCACGAGAATTCAAGAACCTGGTCACCTTCGGCGACAGCTATACTGACGACACGCGAGCATCGTACTTCTACGCGCACAACGCATCCGCACCACCAGTTGGATGGACGCAACCCGAGGTACGTACACACAAACAACATAATCCAACATCACCCAACACAACCCCCCAAACCCAACCCCATTAACACAACCACACCTAGTCCAACTCCTCCGCCTCCGGCGGCTACAACTGGGGGCACTACGTAGCGACAGCCACAAACGCAACGCGCCACAACTACGCCGTCAGCGGCGGCGCCTGCTCGAACAAAATCACGCCGCGCACCATGTCCGGGCTGAACATCTCCTATCCCTCGGTCCTGGAGTATGAGATCCCGGCCTTCCTGGCAGACAAACAATACGTCGACGCGCAGGGGAACCAGTTCCTCGACATCCCGGCCGAGGACACCGTCTACGCCATCTGGATCGGGACGAACGATCTCGGCAATTATGCCTTCCTGACTGATTCCCAGGTCCGGGGGAGGGTCATCCCGGACTACGTGGACTGCGTGTATGAGGCGCTGGATCGCGTCTATGAGAGCGGTGCGCGGTACTTTGTGGTGATGAACTTGGCTCCGTTGCAGTTGACGCCGCAGTATGCGTTGCCGAGCGATGGGGGCGTGGAGAGCGTCTCGTGGTGGCCGGATAAGCCTGCGAATCAGACCCTGACTAGTTACCGGATGTGGGAGCAGGTGGTTACTGTGAATCAGGTTTTGAGGTATAGGACGCCGTTTGAGGTCGAGGTTGCCGATAGGTATCCGGGGGCTGGGGTTGCGGTTATGGATATGTATGGGTTGGTGAGTATTTTCTTTTTTTATTGGGTTGACGCTTGTGGTGTGGGATTGATTGATAATGGCGGTACTGATGGTCGGTAGTTATCTGATATCTACTATAACCCGGATGAATGGTTCGGAGACGTGGGTGCCAATGTCACCGGGTTCGTGAAGCATTGTAATGCCGATGGCGAGGAGTGTGTTCGGCTGCCCGATGAAGAGAACTTCATGTGGTTTGACGAGCTGCATCCGTCGCAGACGACGGACAGGTTTATTGCAGAGGAGTTTGTGAAGGTGGTTAATGGGGAGAGTGAGTGGGCGACGTATTGGTGAGGGTTGCTGACCTTAGTAGGGGAGAGATAAGGATCCCTGTCGAGGGTTGTATCTGGTCTCGTGATCTGTATGTACAATGTTTGAGAGATACATAGCCCCGAATATCAATGACTAAATTAAAGGGATGTCATTTGAGTGCACTATTTCCTTGAATCTGTAACTGACTCAACGCAACGAGCTAGTTAGTTAATACTAAACTCGCCGAGGCAGGTCTTGCGCGTGACATGGCACAATGACAGCCCAGGAATCCAATCCCTGGCTTTCCGTATATAACATTAACATAGAGGGTAGGACAGCATAGCCACTCTCAAGGAACAACTCTTAGAAACAGTGAGTATGACAGAATAAAGAAATAAAAATAAAAGCACGAGACAAGAAAAGAAAAGCAGAACACAACAACGCAGTCTCACCCCTTCACTCTATGAATAGCATCGTCAACCTAAGGCCATACAATATGCACACCCTCACCATGGGACAACCCACCTCTAAATCCATCAGACCAACGGTCAAGTCTCCACGAACCAGAATCCAACGGCTGCTGACAGCGCATGATCCCGCCGCGCCTCAACCCACGTACAGAAGGCAGAAGGCCTAAACACGACGGGACCCACCAGGCATCCAAGTATCAAATTAAGCCCGACATCGCCCTTCTTCGTCCCTTCTGGGGGCGACACTAGTAACAGGTGGGCAACTGACGAGTTACTAGATATAGTAAAAGCGCAAGCACTAGGAATAGCCACTCCAGCCAATCCCAAAGCCCGGATTCGAGAAATCCACTGGAACCACGGCCCCCTAGGGCCCAAAGAGAAGCTAATCTTCATCCCGAGAGCCCATCCAGTGGAACGCAAATCCACCGTTCGAACCGTTACCGAGCGAGCGAACCAATCACGGATGCCCAAAAACCAACAGGACCAACAGCCGGCATGTGCGAGGCAGACACGCATATACGCCTTATAAGGAGCGTGTCGAATAATCACATACACAAAACTGAAAAGGGGGGAGTAGGGTCGGAAAGATATTACCAGGAGAAAGGGACATCAGACGCCGGGTTAGACGAAATGGCGTCTAACGCCGATGAACTCCGTTTACGGAATCTGCACATACGAGACACGCGAAGAGAGAAATGGACGACAGCGACGCAACCCCACATTATTGTCTGAGTCCGCCGCCGAGGCCCATTGCGCTTCGACCCGAGAGCATATCACGTTCTGAAATACTTGTCACTGTGAAGAATCGGCCCGAACCGTGGCATTCGTTGGATTACAGTGTGGAATATGAGGGTCAGACGATCTTTTCGGTCCAGGGGTATCCGTGGAGTATTGGGCAACGACGGGTTTTCTATGATCGGTCTGGATTGCCGCTTTTTGAGCTGCGGGGGCGGTGGTATAACTCTTCGTGTTTGGAGTTGAGGCTACCGGGCGAAATGGGACATGTTATATTGTCTGCGAAGTTGAGGGTCGCGGTTCGAGCGCCGAAGGCGGTGGTCAGGTTCCGGAATGCTGCCGTGTCTGAGCAGCGGAGATCGAGGGATGCTAGGAAAGGGAAGGCGAAGGGGAATGTCGACGGCGATGACGATAATAACGTTTGTCTACCTGGTTCCGATGAGTTGATGCTCGAAGTCCGTGATGAAGATCCGTATCATCATACCCAGGTCCTGGTGCTTGGGGACCGAATCGTGGCGCATATTCGTCTAGTGACGAACCCAGCCGAGCTTTCTGAAGGACCACAACCTCTATCTCGATGTCGGCCGAAGTGGGAAGTGAGAGTTGCACCGGGGGTGGATGTGGCGCTGATAGCGGTCGTGGTTGTTATATTAGGGCAACGGGTTACGGCGGATGAGTATGACGGTCGTGGATCAGGGGACATATAACGGAATTCGGGATCTTTCCAGGACAAGGGTTCTTTTCTTTGATATGGGAAGGGCATTGGTGTTATACTGGGAATTTTGAAAAGTTCATGTTCTGGGTCAGGTATCTGTCTCCCTTGAGGAGGCGAAGAGTTCGATTCATGTACATTCTTTCGGAGTAAGGCTAATATCCAATTTTTTACATTGTAAGGGATTCATAATGACTCGAGCTATGATTATATAGGAGACGAACGGCAGGAGAAGAGCTACCTGAACTTAGCAAGCGATTACCAGCTATCAAACTAAACACTGCATACGGCTTACCCTTGAGCAAAACAGCAACCAAAAGTCGTGTAGAAGAGGGATTCTCAATACTTGGCCCTTACCGATCCATAGGGCACACCATTAAACTCCATCTCAAACAAAAGTGATGCAGATGTCGGTGTGAGCTGAACGACTGCATCAACAGCGTAATACTCAATCCCCTTGGAACTCTTTTTCCTCGAAAAAAGCTTGGTCGGAACAGCGCTAAGATCATATTCCATCACACAAGCCTTGAATACATCTTTCTTTCGGCGTTAGCTGTCTATACCTTTGAGACATTATAGGGTGTGGAGATCATTCCCGCTAACCTTTGGTAACCATATCTGGTGCTCTATCGGCGTAACAAACGAACGGATTCTGGTAACCACTTCGCTTTGCATTAATGGGAACAAGAAGTTTTAATTGGTGTTTAAATGGCTTTTTTTCGGATACTGTATCGTTCTATCCAAGCATCAATATATCCACTGTTGTTTTCCCATAGCATCAAGGGTCATAGGGTTCGGTACCTTCTTGATGAACCATGTTATCCGGTCCTCTACTCAGTAAACCTCTTCGAGCTCCGACCAGACTACTTCTGAGGGCCTGTGGCGCCCCGGCTCGTAGCATGACCAATGGCTTACTCCATAGTAGCATCGTGCAATACGCTTTCCAACTCGGTTCCCATCCAGGCCTCGTTGTACAGCACCGCTGTCAACGACTTTAGCATCACTATGTACAGTCGTAGCTGTAAGGGTCACTTACCAGACAACTGCAGACCATCTGTAGATTGAATTAGAATATTATCTTCACACACGTACCTCTGAGGATTCACTTACGCATCCGCCGGTTGCATGACAGGGATATGCGGACAGGGTGCTTTCAGTCGCCGATAGAGATACTCTGACTCCCCAAAGCCACCGACAAGCATAATTGCCTAACAGGTCAGTGAGTATTGCTAGCCAATTCTGAGAACCGGATAATGAGTACCTTTGCTTTTTTTCCAGAGCGAGCGATATCGCGGGTTTGAGACCGGACAAGAGATACGACTTGCTTGACCACATATTCAAATATCCCTTTAATGGTAGCTCTAGCGATTAGACTATCAGTTATCAGATCGCTCCCAAATTATAAGGCCACCACTAACCTGTCAAGTGCAAGGAAGCCAGCTTCAAGGCCTATAGATGGTTTATCCTCCACACCAGGCAATGGGATGAGGTGTCCGATCTCTTGGAATTCGTCATTATCATCCTCCTCGAACATGAAGTTGGGTTTGATTGTGTCTCGCCAATAAGTCATAGCAGCCTGCATAGATATACAGGGGATCTGCCTAAATTCAGTATCTCCGAAGAGCTCCCTCAGTAATGCCAGAAATTTCGCGTCTAGCAAGATTGATCCACAGGGAGCCCCTGTAACGATTAGGTTGTTCCTAAGCGATGAACAGGAATATACAACACATACCAGTACCTTGGGTCACCTCTTCGAGACCAAGTGGGCTCATAGTCTTTATGCAATACGATATTACGTCCTGAGTAGGTCAGTATGTTGCCCCTCGTAGTGTAACCTACCGAGCACTACTTACAACCGTTCCACCACCAGCGTCGCATATCACAATGATATCCCCATTTTATAGATCAAAGATTAACGTCTCGTTACTGTCACCGGATTAGATTCAGACTAACCTGGATGATATTGGGCTGCATAACTCTTAAGCAGTGGAGAGCGGCAGCCTCCGGCTCGGATATAAGGTAGATATCAGATAGTGGAATACCTCCAGCTGAACACGCCAATCGAGTAGCATCTTTCGCTTTGTCTGACCACCCAGCTGGAACTGTTAGTACGTATTGAATTTCCAACCGTTGGACAGCATCTCCGAATCGGCGGCGCAGTATCTCCCTGCCATGGCCTATTAGCTTGTTGAGGTAATCCGCTACAGCCTCACGGGGGCTAAGTCCTCTTTCGTCCAGCAGCTGTTTGGAGAAGATTTCAGCGATGGAATGAGCCTGTTGGTCTTCATCAAGCAGTATTTTGAATCCACAGATGATGTTCTTTTGGAACGTGACTTCGTAACCCCATCGAACCCTTCCGCCCTCATAGCAAATTGTAGTAGGCGCTTTAGGGCTCGTTCCTGCACGAGTTAGCTTTGTTTGGTAAGCCCAGGATGCATCTTCAGCTATACCGTTTCCTCTACCCGGCCATTCGGATATCACTTCAATATTGTTGGTCACTCTAGTCAGAGACCAAGCGATCCTGCCATCGTCAGAATGTAGTCTAGTTCTAACAATGTCGAAATAAATGTAAAAGCATAAGAGGGACGCTCACCCACTGTACGTTCTACCAAAGTCGATACCAACTACAATCTGCGGCCTGTTCGTCATGGTGGTGTCGTGTGCACGGCAACGGTGAGTATGCGAAGAAGGAGCAAAGGAGGCGAGGTTCGCTCGATGATAAATGTCCCCGTCACCCAACGCCAGTATGACGAACATCATACCACTATATACAGATTCACCTCGAACTTGGTCGACTTCAATAGCCCTTTACTGTTAGTCTTTGTTCCTTTATCGAACAATACACCTTTGATTATAACAAAACATGGCCAACGTGATAAAGAGCTGGTCAGCCGCACTCTACAAGTGGCTTTGGGGATCAGAAGAGGTGGGTGAAGATTTCCTTGAGATTGGATTATATATTAATCTTCGCAGCCTGTTCAAGAGCCCTGCAAAACTTTAGAAACTTTAGAGGATTTCGAACGGGAGCTTACTCGTCTGACGAAAGAATACCAACGCATACAAAAGCTGTTTGCAGAAACGAAGAGCAGAGAAGGCAATTAGGGATACAACAGAAGGATAATGATATCGATTTCATGGCGAAAAAATTGAACTCCTTGAGTTTCAGGCCTGATCCACTACACGAAGACTGCGCCAGCCGGATCATGACCCGACTCGGATATTCCTTGGATACCTGGGTTGATTAAAACTTCTCGGATGAAGGCATATCTTTGAGTGCACAGCACTACCATTATTGACTCCTTTGACGAGTTGAGCTCTCATGTATTCATACTAAGCTGTGGTGTGATGTGCACTTGCTGACCAAGTTATTATAATGTTGTCCTCTCCTTTGTTGTGCGAGGCCTAGTTACCTACTATTTCATTGAAACATACCATACAAGGCATTGATTACAAGGGAAATCATTGAACTAAGCAGCTCTAGAACGGATAGGCTTCTCGTAGCCGAATGATACAAGTAAGCTGCCCCTAGGCAGTGTTAGGGGTAGTCTCCATAGCTTCAGGAAAGACGATCACACCTGCTCTCAAAGCAGTCTAGTAACTGATTATAAGGGTTTACATAAACACAGACTCTTGTTTGTACAACGTCAAAGGATTGTTACTTGATATAAATCTCATTGAAGAAAGTCTTACCGAAAGATATCTAAGGCTTGTATAGGGCCGAAACAGCAAGGAAACAGGCACAGGGTGGGTCAAAAACAAAACACGCATTCAAGATCGCATAACCAACTCACAGGGAACACAAAAGCAAATCAAACACCGTTGGTAAACCCGCTACCCCCGGCCTCCGTATCAATCTTCATTGAATCCATCAGCCCACATACCTCAAATAGCTTCTTTGGCCCCAACCCATCCGGAATTCCAACAACGCCTTCATTCTTGAGTCTTTCCAGCGCAGACTTGATGCCCAGATACGCTGGTGCGAAGCAGGCGAAAGAGAAGATCATAATGCGGAATCCCATTTCCTGTGCTTCCTTCGTGGTGATGATGGGGCCAGCGCCATTCTCTACCATGTTCAAGAGCAAGGGCCACGGCGCCAGATCCTGCACCGCCTGTCTTGCCATCTCTTTGGAGGTGAAGCCTTCCAACAACCCAACATCCGCGCCAAGGTCACGGGCAGCCTTGAGACGTCGGATACATTCGTCATACCCATGCTGTTGCAAAGCATCCGTGCGGGCAATCAGAACGATATCCGAGCGCAGCCTGTCCTTGGTCAACTTGGCAGCGCGGATGCGGGTGAGGTATTCTTCCAGGTCGACGACCTTCTTGCCAGCAAGATGACCACAACGCTTGTTCTGGATTTGGTCCTCAATGTGGAAGCCAGCAACGCCAGCCTGGATGTACTGCTGAACAGACTTGGATACCATCAAAGGACCTGGAGTATATCAGGGATCTGACAGTCATTTGGGGATAAGGAGATAACCTACCGCCATACCCAGTATCCATGTCAGCGATCAAGGGGGGTCCAAACGGGTCCAGGTTGGCAATCATCTCAGCATTGGTCCGCATATCATACAATTGGGCGAGTCCAAGATCTGCCATCCCGAGCCTGGAGGCGGTAGTTCCAGCGCCAGTCTGACTGGTTAGCGTTGATATGGAACAGTGCATGATGCAGACATACCATATACATTGCCTTGAAGCCTAGCCCCATGGCAATCCGAGCGGAGATACCATCGTACACACCAGGGCAGACAATCAAGTCGTCTGTTTCCCTCAACATACGGCGCAGCTTAGACGCCCCGGCTGTCATATACAGGGAAACAGTGGGCTCCTGCCTGGTACCGTTAACTTCATAGAAGCCATCTTTCTCGACGGTGATGGTGATAGCCAGGTTAGACGAGGAGGAGTCTCCGACCTTCATTGTGATTGATATTGAAAATAGATGAGGAAGATAATGATGATGGTGATGGTGATGAGTTCTGGATGATAGCACTTCTACAATGGAAACGAGACCCTTTATATACCTCAATTCCAGCCTTTGATGCCTACCACCTCGGGGGAAAAACTATCCGTCGGACGACCCGCCGTTATCTCAAGTTTCTCCATTTATTCATGGGTTAGCGCTGACACTCATTCTGATATGCTGTATGCAACGTAAGGACTTGGCCAGCTGATTAGCCAGTCATCACGAATGCAGAATACCTCCTGTCGTTATTAATTGTAGGTACTAAGTCATCTTGCTGCTGGCTTCCTTGCGACGCCGAGGATATGTTGCGTGGTACAGTATATGCCTGTGATAGACCAGAACTAGTAGCCCTGAAGTCTAGATCGGCGTTAATCAGTCAGAACAATTAGGCTAATTGATCTCGAACATATTAATTGGTAACATGTGCGTATAGTCCGCCACTTAGCGCGCCTTTCGGACTGATGGCGTAAGAGAGAGAGTTTGGCAGATAAGCCATACAATGGTGATTGTGGTTCTGAAGAATCCACCGCCAAGCTCTTCACTGAGTCTCTCGTTCGCCAAAGGGTGCCAGAGCAACTGGCTAGCCGGATTGGTTGAGGAGTCTGCATGTCAGATGTTGATTTGTGCAACAGACCTATGAATTTGCGCTTGGCTTTATTAATCTGGCACTGATCAACAGTCTGACGAGCCGTGGCGCAGCTGCGGATCATGTTCCTCTCGCTCCGAGCACTGAACGATACCAACGGCCGTCGCCGGAGGATTGCCGCAGAGGCAGGGGGTCCGCAATGGCGTTGAGATGAGCACACCGTATTCGGAGCGTGTGGTTCTTGGCTCCTCTGGCATCAACCTCCGCGCGGTATCAATTGCAGATCGAACCGTGGTGAACGGGGGGATGCATGCCTCTGGTCCGGCTGTTGCGCAAAGGGCTGAGGAAATGAGGAAGTGAGGAGTCATCTGAGCGTCGATCAAGTCTACTCGGCATCTGAAGGGTTCAGGGTCCTTGCTCCTATGATTCGAGGTTTCCACGCTCCATCTTCGGGTCCTTCCGCATCGGACGCCCGCGGACAAACCTCCCTCCTCACGGCCAAGCGCTTGGCATGATGACCCCGAGTCTCGGCATAATAATTAGACTTGGTCTCGGCGCTCGGTACGAGGAGACCTGAGGGCTGGCGGGCGGCATCTTACATGAATGATAGACTCTGCAACTGCTCCGATTGGTGTCTCGCTGGTCGAAACTGCCAGCGTATCAGCCGAATACCACACGGACAAACCTCCACGGTTGCCCATGATTTGGCCCGGAGTCGGACTTGCCATGATCTGCGAGTGCTTATCATGAGGAGGTCGACGGTCATTTTATCCGGCTCCTTGGCCACTGCTGTGTTTCCTTGCTGAGACGCCCTCCCCCTCTTCTCCCACTCTTCACAGTCATTGTGACTTTTTCTTCCCACACATCGAACAAGATGTACGACGGCCAAAGGAAAGAACGTCTGACCTTTCTCAAGGCAGAGATACAACCTGCCCATGCTGATGTTCTACTCTTCGCATGTTGCCTTTGTTCAGGCCTGGTCGATAGCACGCTGTATAACGGTGCGTTGCCACTCATCATACCCTACACACGGGACCGTGCTGACAGAAATAGCGTACAATACATTCGTATCCATGCAGACTGGTCAGTAGCTACTCGAGACCCCAATCGCTACTTCGTTACTGAAAATCAGCAGGTAATACTATCTTCGTCGGTTTGGGAGCCTCCAACCAGACCCCCGGCCTTACGGCTGGGCGCGCTCTCTCACTTCAATCGGATGCTTCATCATAGGCTCGTTCATCTTCGCCCGGTTGAACCGTCTCTTCGGGCCAAAGAAAAGGGGGACGTTGATTCTCTCATTCGGTCTACAAGTGGTCATGCTGATTCTCACGGCATGTCTGGTCCAGAGTGGCGTCATTGCGGGACTTCCGCTACACAATCTGGCAACCGCAGAGCCAGACTGGACCCAAGAAGTACCCATCGTACTCCTTAGTATCCAATCTGCAGGACAGATCGTTGCCAGTCGAGCCCTTGGGTATAACGAAATCCCGACGGTTGTGATCACAAGCTTGCTCTGTGACCTGATGTCTGACCCCAAACTCTTCCTCTTGCGGAACGAGAAGCGGGATCGCAGGATTATTGCTTTTGTTCTCACTCTTGTTGGGGCCATTGCAGGCGGTTGGATCACCAAGGGCACAGGAGATATCTACGCTGCTCTGTGGATAGCAGCAGGCATTAAGCTTGGCATTGCAAGTGCATGGCTGTTCTGGAAGGAAGAATTGGACTTGTCAACTTGAAATCATGTGTATAGAGGGTCTGCAGACTTGCCAATGGTCTATGCTAGGTTAGCGATAGAAGGTGTCAAATGACTAGATGTTGTCGGATAGAGTATGCTTCTGTTCGTCCCCAAAACTCAACCCACTAGAATTGTCTACACCTGTACAGCGTCCATTTAGCCGAACTATCCATAACACGTTGCAGTATAACTTTCAGTCCACGGCAAAAGACCAACTGCCGATTTCGGAGAACGGACCCCCGAATAACCCCGTAAAACCCCCACGGGGAGAATTCAAACAGCAAGCGTAGGTCTCAATGAAACCAGACTAGTCGAGGTTTACGCGTACAATCTTAGCGCTACGCCTTATGGCGATATGTATCATCTTACCTGAATAGATAAGATCATCCATAGGGTAGTATTGGAAGTCATAAGGCTGGCTGAAGGGTGCTGCCAAACGGGGTATGATGCAACCATGCCCATGTGGTAAATGCTACAAGAAGTACGCGAGACGTAGATCATGAATCTGTTAGCGATAATCATTGAAAATGGTTATCATGTTAGTTCACCACGCTAATCTGTTGATGCATCAACAGTCTGGGATTCCGATCCGTCGGGATCTGTTGGAGATACATTTTCCGGGCGGGATTCACACTATTCAATGCTACCCTACTATGGAATCAATATATAATCATCATCCCATCGGTTAGTAAGCCCATGTGAAGAATAACCCTGTACCCCACACATCCCTTGCATAACATCTATACGAATAGTCCTCGGATGCAACTGTTTCTCTTTATCGTACGGAAACACGACGTCCCTTACGTATTGCACCTTGGCTGCCGCTGTACGATTGAGTAACTATTACTTCAACCAAGTAACAGGACAGAACTGGTTTGTGGTGGATGGCTAAGAGGTGACACAACGTGCATAGCCTCCCTGGCTTCTACTTTAAGCCGTGGACAAGACTCTTATTCGCGGATATGCCAAACGGTGTGCATTTTCTACCAGCAGTGGTTACAACAGGCGTCCAGCTGGTGTTCTTACCTACTCCGGAGACTGATATCGCCTTTATTATAGGTTAACACTAGTCTTCTTCTGGGGATGCAGTTGTGCACCTGCAGGTATTGCCGTTGCTGCGCCCGTCGCGGGGTGACACAAGTGTGATAGAGTGCTTAATATTTCCTGTCTATTATGATAACTCTAAAATAGGGTTTAGCTTCAGAGAACTAAGGGTGGAAAGGTCAAGGAAGACAACAAGGGCTTAGAGGCTGGATGTGACGGCGCGCCTGACTTCAAGTTGGATGCCTGAGGATGCTGTTGGCACGTGCCGTGTATGAAATCCTACACGTGGTGGGGTTTTTGTTTTTCATGTCGATTATGAAAATATCATATTATTCGCTTCACAACAGTAATGGAAAAAAGAAAAGCTGCGAAGGGTAATTTCGCCAATTCCAAATGCCTACGTTTGATAGCTGTCCTTCTTTCCTCATCTAGCAGGATCTGCCATGCCTTCATCTCCCAGGCCCCGTTCATATCCAAATCTACCTCTACCAAGCCCGGCCCACCTTAATAACCCTAAATCCTGACTCTAACAATAGAACGGATCACATATCCCGTAACCCCCTTAATGGGCTATCGTACCCAGGCGGGGAACATATATGCGAAAAGACTCCATATCGTCCATGCCTCTGAACCAGTGCCAGAGTTGAAAAGCGGCCCGTCAAGCGAAATCAAACGGCGGACTGTCGACAGGCCCCGTTGCCAACGTTCTAGTGCTGCCGATCTAAATTCAGCCGGTCGGAATGACTTCGGAATTGGACAGCGGAACGGTCCGCACCCCTTATAGCCATAGGGGATATGCTGTGACGTGGTCGCCTATAAAACCCGCTCGATATAGGTGGGTGGTCTGATTGTGTCTGATTTAAAAACACAACCGTTCTGTGTGTGATTCATTTTATCTAACAAATATGGCTTCAATCACTGTGACCGGTGCCGCTGGGCGCCAGATTCAAGGTATGTGTAAACGTTACCCCTCTATCTTCAGTTCTGCTCATGTAATACCATGCATGGTCTACTATACCCTGCAAGGAATTATTGACTAAAACATTATTCCCGGGAAACTAGTCCCAACGGGTCTCTTCATCCACAACGAATTCGTTCCTTCCACTACATCCCTGGCCGTCGAGAATCCTTCCACGGGCGAATCCCTCGGAACCATCTCTGCCGCGTCTCCTGAAGATGTCAACAAGGCTGTCGAGTCCGCCACTATTGGCTTCAACGTGTGGAAGAATACCCCCGGCCCGGCCCGCGCGAAGCTCCTCTTGAAGTTGGCCGACCTAATCGAGCGAGATGCAGATGACTTCGCTTCCCTCGAGGCCGTCGATGCCGGTGTCCTGTATACTGACAGCAAGGGCATGAACATCCCTCAGGCGGTTGGAAACCTCCGGTACTACGCCGGGTGGGCGGATAAGATCGATGGAAAGACTCTTGCCATGGAGGGCGGCGTCGCCTTCACGTATCGGGAGCCCCTTGGTGTCTGTGGAGCCATTGTACCTTGGAATGCGCCTTTGTATGTTCGAAATTGTCTCCACTAGCCGGTTACCCGGTGCTAATTGGGATACAGGATGATCACTATCTGGAAGCTAGCTCCGGCGCTTGCAGCTGGTAACTCGCTTATCATCAAACCGTCCGAATTATCTCCGCTCTACGCCCAGAAGCTTGCCCTGCTCATCCAGGAGGCGGGATTCCCCGCCGGTGTGGTCAACATTATTTCTGGTGACGGCGCATCGGCCGGCAGGGCTTTGGCGGAGCACATGACTGTGCGCAAGATCTCGTTCACGGGATCCAGCGCGACGGGCCGACAGATTCTCAAGACTGCGGCGTCGACCAACCTCAAGCGCGTGAACCTCGAGCTCGGTGGTAAGGGCCCGTCGATTGTTTTCGACGACTGTGATTTGGATAATGCGGTCTTGTGGACCCGGATCGGTATTACGGCCAACAATGGCCAGATCTGTGCGGCTGGTTCGCGCATCTACGTGCAGAAGAGTATCTACGAGAAGTTCCTAGAGGCGTACACGAAGATGGCCGAAGGGAGTCCGTCGGTCATTGGTAACCCCCTTGACCCGGCTACGACGAAGGGGCCGATCGTCAGCGCGGCACAGCACAACAAGATCCTGTCGTATATTGAACAAGGTAAGCAGTGTGGGGCCCGACTCCTCTTCGGCGGTAAGAAGGTTGGCGAGAAGGGATACTTTGTTGAGAACACCGCGTTTGCCGATGTCTCTGAGAATGCGACAATCATGAAGGAGGAGATCTTCGGTCCGGTCGCGGTATGTGTCTCTCTTGGGTTAGATGCTTGGCAGAAGTGAGATCGCTAACGGGAGTAGAGCATCGCACCTTTCGAGACGGAAGCTGAGGTTATCGCCAAAGCGAACGATACCCTGCATGGTCTTAGCGCGGCCGTTTTCACCAACGACATCAGCCGTGCCCACCGTGTGACGGCCGCCCTCGAGTCTGGCCAAGTTACTGTGAATGCCTGGGCGATGCTTAGCCCCAACGCACCTTTCGGCGGTGTCAAGGAGAGCGGCTTCGGGCGGGACATGGGTGAGGAGGCCCTGGAGGGATGGACATCCGTCAAGAGCGTCAAGTATGCCATTTTACCCCCCAAGCTGTAGATTGCGGCAGCGCCACGACAAATTAGATTAATCCAGGTGTCGGTCACCGATCCTACACGATACCTAATGAGGAAACTTTCATGAGATTGTGTGAAGTAGAGAAATTTCCACGAATGAGAGTATGAGCACCAGACACGGGTCCTATTTCTCATGATAAGATCATGCATAATTTAATCTACAGGCTTATTGCGGATACGAGATCTCACGGGTCCGTTCGCTGTGCCCATGCTTCCGGCTCCTGGGATGCTGCATAGAAAGGATTCCGCTAATGTACTAGCTTCCGAACTTGGTGCTGGACCCTTGATTTCGATTGCTTGCGTAGACTAAGCGCGGGAAACGGGATGCATCTTGTGGAAGACATTCTTCGGGTCGTATTTCGCCTTGACGTCCCTCAGGCGCTCCAGATTACTTCCGTAGATGTTGTTGACGACGGCGTCTCCGGCTGTGTGTTGTCAGCTTAGTTTTGTTTTTTCACTTGAATCTTCGGCATGAACTCACGCTCTGCGTAGTTGATATACTGCGGTACATCGGCAGTCTCCTCTCCGTTAAGCTGTGCCTCAAACTGCGTCTTGAACTTAGCTTGTATTTCCCGTGCCCAGGCCCGATACTCGGCGTCCTTGGACGCATCCGTCCACCGCAGGTTGAGCAGTCCGTTCTGCGTAAGACTCCGATTCGCGAACGCGGTCGCATCCAGCGGCACGCTGCAGGTCTTCCTCATATCATAGCACTCCAGCAGCATGGCTGGGATCATGTCGGGGTGGTCCTGGAGCTTCGCGTTTAATTCATCCAGCATGGAACGCAGGAACTGGGCGTCCATGGGGGTGCGATAGAAAAGGCCCTTGAAGGACTTGCGATCGCCGTAAGTGGCCATCGGGTTCTGCAAGGAGTTGAGCAAGGAGTACGGGATGGTCTCGATCATGTTCACCACGGGCTCGAGAGCAAGGAATCCCTCGTAACGCTTCGAGCCTTCCTCGTTGGTGCCGTTGTAGAAGACCAGCACGTTGACCATGATTGTAGGGGCGCCTGGCGGCTGAGCGAGGATGATAATAGCGCCGGATCGAGGATCGGGGTTCTCAAAGAGCACGTTCATCTGCTCGATGACCGCCTCGAGCTTGTCTGGTGTGAATGCGATAATTCCGGCGTAGACTGGGTTCTTCTGCTCATACGCCTGGAACGTGAAGTCGACAACCACCCCGAAATTGTATCCGGCGCCGCGCAAACCCCAGAAGAGGTCGGCGTTCTCGGTCGCAGACGCCGTGACCACTTGCCCGTCTGCGAGCACCACCGTCGCAGCCAGGAGGTTGTCGATGGTGAGCCCATACTGGCCGCTCAGCCAGCCGTATCCTCCGCCGAGGGTCAATCCACCCACCCCGGTGTGGTTGACTGTGCCGCCGACGGCCGCGAGCCCGTGCTCTGCGCCCGCTTCATCGACGTCCTTCCACACGGCGCCACCCTGCACGGTCAGCGTTTTCTTCTCCGTGTCCGCGGTGACTTTGTTCATGCGCGACAGGTCGATCACCAACCCGCCGTCGCTGGAACTCGTCCCCGCGACGGAATGACCACCGCCCTTGACGGCGAGGTCGATGTCATGCTCCTGAGCCCAGAGAAGCGCAGTACGCACATCGTCGGTCTCAGTGGGCATCACCACAACACCCTGCACGGTCAACTCAGCGTCCACTCTCTACCAAGGAACAGATGTGGGGAACGGGAGGGAGGGGAGATCCATACGGCTTGTTTGACTCCGGTCTCCGACCATCGTCGGATACTGTCCAGGTAGCCTTCAGATGAGGGGGTGAAGATATCTGAGGACTTGAGATTGTCCACGAGGGCGCGCAGAGTCGAGTCCGGAATGGAAGCCATGGTGGTTTTGTTTCGCGATGGATGTGTGTTTAGGTAAAGTTCGTGGTGGTCGGGTTCATCCGAGGAATAAATCGCATGTGGGGTCGAGGGTCTGAATCGCTTAGTTATTATCAATACGAATTCCTGCTTTTCCACTGAACTCTACACTAGGTCTTGGCATTGGAGTTGAGGGTTTGTTTCATGTTATTGTTCCATCTCGACCATTGTGTAGTTTTTATACATGGGGTTGAACTACGTACACTAGGATATATAGATATAGTGGCGATGTTTGGACTCCTGTTTGTGGGTGACCTCCTAAGGGTACCAGCATAGGGTTCATAGATATAGTTACTATATATATGAGGTACTCTGTACTCAACATATATTTATGACTACCCCAACGAGCTTAAATCGATCGATCTCCCCCACAACTAAGCCTCTGCTGGAAGACAAGTGAGATCACCTATATTACTGCCTTGTTTATTATTCTAGAAAATGCGCCAACGGGTTTAGCATTCCAACTGGCATATATGGCCTTGTATAGCATTCTACAATGATACCGACCAACGCGATATACCGTCGCGGGATACATCGGTTAGGCCTTGACTAGCCTATAGAGCTACTGCCACTATTCATTTGTATCCTAGAGCTTGTAGATATCAAACTTATAATATACCTCTGCTAGAAGGTACCGCTTTTGGACATTTTCTCTTGGTGATATATGCGTTTGAAATCTATCTATTACATACTAAATATACTTTGCCGCAGCTGTTTTGTTCATCTTAATTACTTTATTTAACACGCCTAGTAGACAGCACCTTCTCGATCTAGTGCCTATTTAACATAGAATATAGGTCAACCTTATAAGTGGTTGTATTAAGTCTGGGAAAGAAGAAGCATCCTACTACGATTGCCACCTTTAGGCCCCTTATAGTATCGACAATATATGTATATTCATACCACAATTGCCGATGAGCTGCTTGGTATTAACCAAACAGCCAATGGTGACTTAGAAAGAGCCCTAGTAAGGAGCCAGAACCGAGTATATTGCGTCTCTCTCACTTTCTATATCTACGTGAGTTTCTCCTTAGTATACCGCTCATACAATTCCGGATACCACTTCTGCCCTACGTCTGGATGGCTGATAATCCGATTACGCAGGTACGCTTCTCCGAACTATCGCAAGTTAGTGAGACTCCACGTCCACAGAGAGATAGCACCTACACATGAATACAAAGGCGAGAGGAACTCGCTCGGCACATCGACGGCTCGCTTCTTCCGGTCATCCGAAGCAGGAATACATTTTACAATATGTGCTGCGGATTCACGGAGCTGGTCGAGCGTGAGGTCCATTCGCACGCCCAGGAAAAAGGGAATGCTGTATCGCGTCTTGGTCGTCGGGGCCTACTTCGATGTCAGTGATACTAGGAACCACATAAAGGTCTGTATAGCGCCAACATACAATCACTCGATGGGTCGTCGCGGTGCAGATACCCCCGGTAATCGCCTCGAATCCCTGTTGGATGTTCACGACCAGACTCCCCTCAATCGGAGGGGCATCGATCCACTGGCCGTTCTTGTTAAGCACCTGGAGTCCGCCCGTGTCGTCTTGCGAGAGGAAAGTGAATAAGCCCGTCGAGTCCTTGTGTGGACCTACTCCCTGCGAGCCGGGCGCAGCCTGGGGATACTTGATGAACTTCAGACGGTCCATTTTGCCCTTGAACGACTCGAAGGTTGTTGGCGGCAGGGAGAGGCATTCTGAAACGTATCGCATGAACTCCTGCGATAGCTTCGCGGACTCTGCGATGTATCTTCGACGAGTTCTTGGGCCCCGGGATGGTCCGGATACTGCATCATTAGAATGCTTGATATGGAGGAGGAATGCTGCCGAGCATACCTGACTGTCCCCCTCGAGTCTCTGCCAGAAGGGGTCGTTTTCAGTCCACTGTTTCATACCCGGCGTACCGAAGTCGAATTGCTTTTGTATTCGGTCAGCGGTCTATACATCCATTCATGGGGGAGACGGGGTTACCTCTCGCAGATCCGTCTTGGATGCTGTGGTCTCGGCTCCGAGACGAGTGTACCCGACGAATGCCGGGGAATTGATCATATTACATCGCTCCTTGACCTCGGTGGGCAAAGCGAACAGCTCCGGGAGCTTCGCGTGCGTTCTTTTCACAAGTGACTGCACAATATTAGTACCTTGACGAAGGAGAGAGGTGGATTAATGGTTGTTACCTCGAGCCCATGGTTGATCAAGTACAGGAACCCAACCTGGAAGATGGCTTGCCGCAATTGCTCCAAGGCTTCCGCTTTAGTCAGCGGGTCTTGAAGACGACGCAAGTCCACGATGGGAATAGAGGAAAAAGTACTATCGGCCATAGCTGTTTCAGTATTCTATATACTCTGGGCAAATGTGAAGGGTGAACTTGATGTCAAGTGGGGATTAGATTGAGAGGGGGATCGAGCACGCCAATCACATCATCACTGCGATCAAGCCAGGTGTGGCTGAGCCTTGGCCCCATCGCCGAGGCCGAAGTTTTCCCAGCCGATGCTTCAGACTACAGCAGTTTGGCAATACATTTACAAGAGAACCTTTGGTAGCCACCGTTCTATCCAATTAAACAAAGTGCTCTTGGCTATTTATTAGGCATGTTCCTTGCTCGGTAACTGGGTCCCGGAGGGAACCATGGGAAAGGTTCTCCATAGAGTCGACCAGTCTGGAAACATAAAACACGCCCACACTGGTTACGTAGTGGTGTCTAACTGGAAGAGGTAAGTAAGCTCCCTTGTTGTATCCTTAGATTCCTTACTCTATGAGAATATTTGGGCCGTGCATAGCACGACTAAGAGTGTGCATGGTTGACTGTTGATTTTAGGGATAATCATGTCACATGGGTAATTGAACCCAGGCCCCTATTGCGCGTGCTTCCAGAGTCAATTGCGCAACAACATCTCATATTAAACAATCCAGACTATTGTCTTCAGTGTGGAACAATTCCCGTTAAATATAGACCTGCCAAGGACTCTGGAAAGACCGGAACTCAATCTACCGAGCTATTTCTTGGCAGTATCAAAAGAACAGTGATAATCCCAACGACTACTCGAAGGAGAACGGAGCCGACCTTCACGGTCCTAAATCAATCAAAATGCCGTTGCTATACATCAAAACTCTCGGGACTTGCTCGGATTTGTGGATTTGATTTGTACCTCTCCCTCGACGCATACACCTGAGATGGTTTATTCTCTTCATATTATTCCACCTGTGATACCGACTCCTGTGCCTGTCCGGCACGATCCTTGGAGAGAACAAGCATCACGAGGATCGTCTTCATGAGCTTGCATGAGTAATTCCAGTTATGAAGCACACGATGTACATGTAGAATGATTGATCATGTCTTCATGGGACCGAGCGCCAAGGACAAGAAGCAAAACATCCAACTTCTTGGCACTGCTTTCTGAAACGCACCAATGGCTACCGGCGGCTCTCCATGTATCACCTAAACTGGCAGAGGATAGCCCTAACCGTCAGCTAACCGCCCTGAGCCAACAATCTTGTCATGCCGCAGTGCTTGCCACTGACTTGCTCATCGCAGTCCAAGCGTGGCTCTTTAATCTAACCCCAGTCCCACGGAGAAATTACCCACCCCTGCGTGTATGCATTTGGGGGTAAACGATGACGATCCCTTCATTCTGTTCCACCTATGGCAACTAGTCTTGGTCCTAGCTCGAGGTACCGTGGCTCGGAGAAGCTCTACCGAGCTCTATAGAAACGCAGAATATTGAAAATCCTGAAGCGCCCGACGAGGGTATATAAGACCTCTCCATCCGGCGTGGTTGTGGTCTTCTTTCTTTTCTCACCAGCAAAGCTGTTCCCTTCACTGTGTCATTCTTTCTACCTTCTTTTGAACCTTTATTTCACTACAATCACCCGCCTCAATGGCTAACTTCAAGCTCTTCCTTGCGCTGGCCGCATGCCTGTCTGGACAGGCTCTGGCTGCCCCTACCAAGACCGTCGCCAAGCGCGCTGCTATCTCTGATGTGAGTCTCCCGACAACATTGGTATACTGTCTTCCTGTGCTGTATCTGACCTGCCACGCAGGTTGCCCACGGTTACGCCAGCCAGAACGGTGGCACCAACGGTGGTGCCGGCGGTACTACCACCACCGTCTCCTCCTACGCCCAGTTCACCGAGCTGTCTCCAGCGACGATGCCAAGATCGTCATCGTTGATGGCACCATCACCCAGGAGGCGAAGCAGGTGAAGGTTGGCAGCAACACCAGCATCATCGGAAAGGACGCCAACGCCATCCTCGAGGGATTCGGCCTGTATGTTTCAGTGGATACTTCATGGAGAGAACTCCAGACTAACACTCTACCAGTCTCGTCAAGGAGAAGGAGAACGTCATCATCCGTAACCTCGGAGTCAAGAAGGTCCTTGCCGACAACGGCGATGCCATTGGTGTCCGTATGTGTCCCTCGATTACACCGCCAGGGAAGGGTGACAATACTAAGCTGCAGCAGAGTACTCCAACAACGTCTGGATCGACCACTGTGACGTCTCGTCCGACCGTGACCACGACAAGGACTACTACGACGGTCTGATCGATGTATGTTCCTCTTCATCTACCCTCCCTCAGTCCCAATCGAAAGCCTATCAGCCGAAACTAACCAGACAAAAAACTATAGCTCACCCACGCCGCCGACTACGTCACCATCTCCAACACCTTCGTCCACGACCACTGGAAGGCCATGTTGTACGGCCACTCCGACAGCAACGGCGACGAAGACACCGGCCACCTCCGCATCACCGTCAACAACAACTACCTCAACAACCTGAACTCCCGTGGTCCTTCCTTCCGCTTCGGCACCGGCCATATCTACAACAACTACTACCTGGACGTCAACGACGGCATCAACACCCGCCAGCGCCCAGCTGCTGGTCGAGGGCAACGTCTGGGAGGGCGGCAAGAAGCCCCTCTACTCCACCGACGAGGGATACGCCGTTGCCCGCGACAACGACTTCGGTGATGGCGAGAACACCGCCCCCGAGGGTACCCTCACCAGTGTCCCCTACGAGTACGACCTCCTTGCTGCTTCGGCTGTCAAGGCTGCTGTCTACGGTACCGCCGGTCAGACCCTGACCTTCTAAGAAGATCGTGGAAAGTACGAGGTGAAAGTTACGGAGAGATGTGGTCCATGATTGTTTTGGGGTGATTGTGTGTGATTTTTACCTTCTTTTTATTGTTTGATTGTTTGGCTGGGCCAGGATCGAAATTTAGTTTTAGGAACCTCATCAAGGCAAAGTGTTGTTCATCGGTAATGACCTTCTGTTGTGGATATTACGTAGTGGATTTGTAGAGGTATATACATTCTCGGAGTTAGTTAACCGTTCTATCAACAACTCGACGGTTAGCTTAGCCTGACACACTCAACACAACAAGCATCGGAGTACACACAACAATACCATCACACCCCACAACCGGACCTTCGTAGACCAACACTAGAGAAAACCAAAGCGCCCGTAGCACCAACAAGAGTGGAGGAAGTATTAATTGCAAACGAGTTAAGTAGATAGTAGATAGTATTTCTCTTTTAGGAAGTAGTATTAACCCAGACACAGAAAGAAGATCCCATTAGACCGACTTTATACACCAACCACCAGACCGAAAGACCCACATCTATCAAAAAATAAAAAATAAAAAGAGCCCATTCAATGCACAACAGCAGCAATAATAGCGCTATCATATCTCATCAAAGAAATGCTATGCAAAAACCCGTATGACCCAGTACTCCAATAATGCAACCCGCCCATCCCGACCGACCAACCGACCAACCAACCGACCAACCCAGTCCCAACCCAACCGTACCCAACCGAGCAAAAAAAAAGGCAAGATGACTTAAGTTCTATGAAGTGTCCGACTTGCCGTGAGAATACAATGAGCCGCCCTCGACGGGCATGGGGATCGTGATCTGCGTGGCGTCGAATTCCCACGCGGCTTCTCTTTGCTGTCGATGGTTGCGGATGTAGAGCGGGAAGGTCCATTCTTTGAGACGGCCTTCCAGGAAACCCATGTCCCGGTTCTTCTCCCACATGCGACGGGACGCCTTGAAAGCCGTGTTGACGGTGTTGCGGCGCAGGTCTTCGTAGGCCTTGAAGGCGATGGGGAGCGGCTCGTGGCGGTGTTTGGCGAGGATGCGGGAGAACAGGATTGCGTCGTCGAGGGCGTAGGCGGCGGATTCGTCGCGCGGGGGCATCTATTCCGGGTTTGTTAGTTTTTTTCTCGTAACGATAGTAGATGTAAGGAATATAGAGGGTGAGTGACATACAGCATGTGCAGCATCGCCGAGTAGCAACGCCCGATCCGTGTGCCAACGTGCGTTGGGCCGCACCTGGTACACGGGATACAGCATCCAGTCGCCCGATTTGCTTGTCATCTCGCGGATGCAGGGGATCCCGGACTTCCCGAAGCGGGCCTGCATCTCCTCATGCAAGGCGTTCTTGATGCGATGCTGGGTGACCCAGTCCTGGCCGCTCTCGATCTTGCAGAAGGGCAGATTGGCCTCTTTGAACTGCACGATGGCGGCCAGGAAGATCTGGTCGTGTTCGCGGTCACAGTAGCTCGCCAGGAGCGAACCCTGGCGGGAGATGTTCATGGAGGTGGAGCGGAAATGGATGGGAGACTTGATACTCTTGGAGTCGATGACGGTCTGCAGGAAGGAGATGCCGGTATACTCGGACGGGTGCTCCGGCGAGACCCACTGGGTGCGGGTGGCTGAGTGCACGCCGTCGCAGCCCAGCACCAGATCGCCGGTGGCGGTGGTGCCGTCTTGGAAATACAGGGTGGCCTCGTCGTCGTTCTCCTCGCCGCGGATGAGCTTCTTCCCGAATACCACGTTGATGTTCTTCGTCCGCTCCACCACGGCCAGCATGGCAACCGAGAGGATGATCCGCATGACCCGGCGGCCCTTGTATCCGCCGAACCCGTTCCCTTTCTGGTCGGTGAAATCGATGCTGCCTAGTTGGCGGCCGGAACGGCTGGAGAAGAGCTCGATGGCTTCGACGTCTGTGCCACCTTCCGTGCCCATTTTGTCGAGCTCGTCTAGGACACCGAGGCGGTCGAGGTGGCGCTGGGCCACGGGGGTGAGGTTGATGGCCCCACCGGAGGTGGAGAGGATATCATGGCGCTCGAAGATGGTGATCTGGAGGTCGGGGACGAAAGGGGTGAGTTCTTTGGAGAGGGCGAGTGCACAGGAGATGCCGGCGATGCCAGCGCCGACGATGAGGATGTTCCGCGGAGCAAAGACGGAGGTGAGGGAACGTTCAATGTCGGTAGGCAAATTGAACCATTCGTTGGCCTCTTGTTTCTGCGAAGGGAACTCGTACTGCAGATCCATGGCTTCTTGATTGGGTGATTTCACCAGAACGAGTGATGAAAACCAAAGGGATATTCGGAGGAGCTCGGATGCATGGACGGAGGGCGTGAGACCTATAAATTGACTATGAAAAGAAAAGGGTAGTTGATATCTAGCAGACAGAGGTATCCACAGAATCCAGACCCGGTGTTATCGGACCAACTTCCTGAAAGGAACCAGGGGGATCGTCCATGCTAATGGGAGGCCCATTTATTAATACTCCAGTCACACCCATCAGGAGACAAAAAAAAAAAAAGAAACGATAAAAAAAAAAGGCTATATTCGGCCGGAAAGGAGAGCGTTCGGAGACCATTGACGCATGGTCCAAGGAAGACTGGAAAAAAAACCTGGCAAAATTTTCTTCATGCACCCACTCTAATACTCCTGCTGCGTCGATAAATCAGAAACCGTGCATACATAGCGAGATCGAGGGCTCCACTCTCACCCGAAGTCCGGAACATTAGCAAGCTGATAGGTCAGAACTAAAAGCTGTCAGTTTGGGCCCAGTCTTAGTCTCGAAGCGAACTCTGGATCCCTCCGTCATAGTGGCCGTTGAGCGCCGTTCGGCACTCAGGAGAAGGAAAAGATCAGACGGCTAGTGCTCAGAGCGTCGGGCGGAATACGGAGAACCGTATGGAGTATGGAGTCGGCTGGTCCATGCTAATTTCGCCATGCAATTATTGAACTCTAGTACAATCTCGCATGGCCTACAATGGGAAACGAAAGCGAGCTCCATATTCATATATGTAACCTCGGTCGTTAGGGCTCGCCCGGCTAAATTACGTGTGCAAATTTCCCAAAAAGTACAAACCAACACACGATGACTCAGCTGATCCGTGGCCACCCGTGACTTTTTTTCCACCTGACCGTTGGGACCCTCAGTATCGCAGAATTCCATCCCATGGTACCGAAAAGAATCAACGGGCCCTGTTCAACCTTATCCTCGGCCGATCGGCGATTTCACTCTATCGGGAATATAGTTATACACGTCCATTGGATTTCTCCGAGAGAGCAGTCTCGCCAACGTGGTAAAAGACATATCAAAAACCTAATCATGGCCCGAGATCAAAGCGTGCCGCCACCAAGTCGCCGCTCGAACAAACGAAACCTTCTCTCCCCTTTCCAGAAAAAGTCAATATCTGCGTTCTTTGCGATGACATCAAAGGGCCCACGCGAACCCTGGTTAGGGAATGCTTTGGGTGATCACATTCTGCAATTCTCAAGCAATCGGCGAATGTCTCGCGTGGCCAAGGTGGCACAGTACAATTTAGCGTGCCTGCACTAACATGGATTTCTGGTTTAATGGGATCTACTCATGCACCATGAGAAACTAACTTGTTTTTTTTCCCTTGTCGTGTCTCAGCGGGGACACACAGGCTAATAAAAAATGACAGATAGCAAACGTTAAACGATACATTGGTCAATTCGCGCAGGGCAAACCCGCTCAAGACATGTCCATTATGCGAAATTTATTTGACACAGTGCGAGAACTTTACTTGCGCCTCTCTGAGCGGCTAACATACAAGTCTATAATCGGGGCACCCGGAACTATCGCTCTGAAACACAGACCAAAACTTAATCGTCGTGACCACTACGATCGATAGAAGCTGATTGCGCGAATAATCTATGAAACAATGACAGCTCAACCCGTATTCACCACAGAGCACAGCATCCGCGATCAGCCCGTCAGAATCTGGCCAGTCTGATCCTTCAGCTTCCCGCAGTATCGCCGCGCTGCTCGAACAGTTCCGGGCTCGTACGATGCACTGGGCGACCGGGGGCCCTTGTCGTCGTACAATATGTGTATGGTCCCTGCATAAGCACGCATAAGAACTGTCACCATTGTGCTGAATAATACAGGGATTGCCATACTACAGACCTTAAGGGAAATAAACTAAGCGTCTAGGTTGTTTCAAAGACAAAGAGATGAGACCTCAAGTAGGGCAATATAACCTCTGAGTTTATTTTAACTTTCATAAGCCGCCTTAGGAATTGATGTACTTTCTTTGACAGCCCTGTGGGACTACCTGCATACGTCTCTGACTTCATTCTACGAGCTGTCCATTGTCCCCAAAGGAACTGATTTCCAGGCATATGAGAAGGGTAGATAAGACCTATCGGGCAAACCGCGAAAGGTGGAGGCCTTCCCCATACTCATTGTCATCCACAGGTGCCAAGCGTACCAACGTCTCCCGTCCCGGAGGGCAAATCCCGAGTGCCCACAGACACCGGGGGCTCAGAGCAGCGAGAGCACTGTGGAAAATTCGAATGTCTTAGTTAGTAATAGGAGAAAGACAGCTGCCAGACCCTTTCTCCCTAATCAAGTAAGCTAGACAAAAGAGAACAGTCCTGCCGAGGAGAAGGGCACTAGCGGGTGGATACCATCTTAGAATATCAGTTCTATAGCTAGACTATAATAGGGTAATTATGGACTAAAGACCAGTACAGCATTCTATCGAATCACATGCAGGAGAAGCCTCTTTGTTGCCTAGGTAGGTCAATTAGGGCATGTTTGGAAGGGGCATACCTGAATCCCGAACATACCCACAAAGCCGGACAATTGATGCTAAGCGATCTTGTGTGTAGAGACTTCTAAGCGACCACACGCTACACATGCCACGCCCGTATTCAAGAACCCTCCACTTCAACGAGAATGGTTCCTGACCCATATAGCCAAATTGGGAATATGCTCAAATTGTCCAAATTTTGAGACTATCAAAGTTATATTGGCTGTGCAAGTACGAGCAGTTAATCCACCTAATTAGGTCCAAGAGAAAAAAAACAGGAAAGAAGCGTTGGGAAACTGCCTATGTCCATTTTGTGCCGAGATAGGTAATCCGGTCATGGCCTTTTTTTTTTTTTTTGTTTTTTTCTGAGAGAAGCGTTAAATGCCGCGGTTCCCCGACAAGGTCTCCTAGACAGGTCAATAGTTTTTTTTCCTCAGCTTTCAGCAGGGATATTAGAAGATGGACCCTCAGCTGAGAACTTAGTACACATACAGTAAACATACTACCCTAACATTGCACTACACTACATCACTACGGAGATCCAAATACGAGAACTAGCGAAATCTCGCAGGATACCACCACGAGAGCCAAATCTGCCTCCAGTCCAGCTTCACCTCAATACAGCTGAGGCTTCTAGATCCCAGCTATACCGCTGCCATTAAGGCGCAAATCTGAGACATAACCTCTTATTACTATGCCATTCCGATCTCGCATATAATAAGTAACAAACTGTTATAGGGCTATATCGCCACAGGACAACGGTTACATCTTCCGGATCTACAGTCCCCATAACATTATTCCCAAATTCCCCACTATAGTCGCCAGCTGCAAGAGATCGGCATCCAGCTTCCCTTTTCTCCACGGAAACACATGTACATAGAACCGTGAAACTCACCGCCCAAATGTGCACGATAGTGATAAATAGAAATAAATATGGCCCGGACGACATGTGAATGCGCCGACTATATATACAGCTGCGAATCATTACTATCTTCGTGGTGTGGCACCGTTGACGATCTGCGCTTAATAGTACGACGGCCTAGAGGTGCTAAGCTTTGCCCCTTTAAACGGAGGTACTCCGTACGTAACCTCCGTCCCCGTTGGATTATTAATTCCAACGGTCTAGAGGGACAATCTATACCGGGCTTGTTTTAGTCTCCCCTCTTCCTGCTAGGCGGAAGTTACTGCGCTTCCGGCGTTACAGCGGAATCCGATCTGCAGCGGCCCGCCAAAATAAACATCTCACTCCTCGTCCTCCTTCCCAAGTGTAGGCGTTCGCGAGACGGAAATGATTGACCACATCGTCGCCCTGGCGGATATAATAGGTCAGGTTTGGTGTGACGACAAGTGGGGAGACGCTGCCGCCGGTGGTGTTGAAGTCCATATGCCAAGGTGCTGATGGGTGGAACTGCGGCCAGTCAAGTTGGCCCGATGAGTCTTCGGGGACAATGGCATGGCTCTGGTTCCCGGTGGCATCTTGAATGGGAATGATAGGCGAGTTATTCATAATAAAACTACCCCAGACCTTCTGGAATGCGTGGTTGAACCGCTTGCTGGGCCAGGACGCTTTGCCGGGAAAATAGGCGTTCAAGTCCGCGCCGTGGAGGGCTGGTGTGACGGAGTACTGGTACTTCCAGGCCTGGCGGAGAGATCCTCCAAATGCCTCGGCGAACCACTGTGCGGGACAGTCAAATGTGGACTCGGCAAAAATATTGAACACGGTCTGCTGGAGTCCTGTTGCCACCTCGGACTGGTTCTTTGCAGTTGGACCTGAAGTGCCGAGGGTATCGAATCGGGGACTGTCGTCGGTTGACTGAGAATCGGCGGTGTCATATACCAACTTCAGCCAGGCGAGATCGGTTTCGGTGAAGTTTGGGAAGGTCTCCGAGAGGTAACTGTTGAATGCGGTGCGGGTCACCACATTAGGATTACTCAAGGGGACGCCGTCATTAGCATTGTTCTACAACCGGTCAGCGTATCGTAGGCTGAAAGCAAGAGACGGCTGAGCTTACTCCGACAAGGATTCGCTGCCCACTAACTTTGCCTGAGAGTAACTGTGCTGACGGCCGCTCGCGAATCATATCATTGTCGACGACAGGCAGGAATGCAAACGTGCCGAAGAGGCCTGACTCGGAAACCACACCACTGGCGTTTTGAAGCTTCTCGCTTGGCGCTTCAACTAGACAGTCAAAGCTACTGTTGTACCGGGCTTTTGCGATCGCAGATGGGCCACAGCCTGTCTTTTCGACAAACGCTTCGTAGTGACCGGTGGGTACTGGGTCATCATACGGGTACACGGGTACCAAGTACGGACTAGCCGCGATGATCTGAGCATGGCCTGCGTCAGTGAGCTGTTGGGCGTGTGGTAGAGCGAATGAACATGGAATTCGATAGTTACGTTTTGGAATAGATTCGACTCTTTTCCTCCATACGCCAGAGAGTGCAGCATGACTGCCCCAGCACCAGCTGACTCGCCACCGATAGTGACGCGCTTAGGGTTGCCGCCAAATTTAGTGATATGTTGTTGAACCCATTGCAGTGCAAACCGCTGGTCCAAAAGACCAGCATTGGGCGTACCTCTTTCGTGAACCTCTGCGGATGACAAGAAGCCAAACGCTCCAAGACGGTACTGGATCTCCACCGTGATGAAGCCATTGCCGTTGGTGTTCATTAGCGGACTAGGGTCATAGACAGCTCCGAAGAGGCCGTATCCACCTCCATCTATCGGATAATCAGCAAAATATCCTAATGATCGCATCTACACTTCTTGCCAAGGGCGTAATGGCATCTTACGGATCCAGACGAAGACTGGCAAATCTGATGCCCCTGGGGGTGCATAGACGTTCAGATATAAACAATCCTCGTCGCCTGGACCAGAGTTAAACCCATAGACTGCCGGTGTCCGAGCGGCACCAGATTGTGGGCAGACGGGCGGCTGATCAACCGCTGGGAGAATGTGGCTGATGTTCCGAGGAGGAGCTACCGGGGGTTGCCATCGCAACTCGTTGATCGGAGGGGCTGCATAGCGAATTCTGCTCACAGGGGAGTCAACAAATGATTAGTAGATGTGGAAATGGGACATAGTAGCACGATGATAGCTGCGCACCCTTTCCAGATATTAAGCCCGGTAGTTGTGTTATAGTATCCTTGATAGGTCGAGTATCCCAAGTTAACGACAGGTTCAGATGGGTTGCCCTCCACGGTGGCGAGCAGAGCCAGGCTGGCTGTTAGCAAGTGTCTCATCATCAACGATTAGTCAGATAACGATGATTGACTGACAGGCGAAAACGGTGAACACTCGTATAAGTCGGTGGGAAGCAGAGAGAATTTATAGTAGAATGCAGTGTGACTCTAGTGCTTATATACGAGCAGACGGCACGCATTAGGGCATATGAAGGACTACTCTGATTGGAGAGCGGTGCCCTAAGCATCTTGATCGTAAGCCTTCCACGGCAGTGATAAGCCCTTTTATTAGTAATGCTACTGGCATGCATCTTGGTAGTGGGTGTGAATTTATCTGAGAAAGCATTACGTAGTCTAGATATAGAGTAAGCACGAAGAATGAAAGATCAGATGTATGATGATAGCACAATCAGTGGGCATATCAGCACGACAGAAATACCCTACTTTTATTTCAACTGCAATTAAATATGGCAAATATGGGAAGCCTAGCTCCGAATAAGGGAGTAGCATGAAAGAGCTGTAAGTCGCTAATAAACTAGTATAAGGTAGCTAGAGTTATACTAGTTCTCCAGACTACCACGAGAGCTTTGGGTATCAGAGGAGGACAGCAATATTATCCCAGCTGAACAGCAACCTTCTTTAATGCACATGAAGAATCATCCACACTTTCACAACGCCTGACCAACCGCCCCATACCAGCAAAGCCCCAGTATAGCACCAAGAACGATCGCAACAGCAGATGGTACGTTGAACCACGCACTTTCTGCGTACGTAACAACAGCAATCACAACCCACCATGGCTCCTTCGCTAGGCTCTGACCATTATTAGCCTCAGGAGTAAGATACCCAATCTCCCAGAGCCTATAAACAGCAGTGAATACCAATCCGACTGCAGTCGCGTTCACGCCTCTAAGAAAATCGACAACCCATTTTCGCTTCCGGAGGGTTTTCCAAAAGCTTTGCACAGCAACTGCCAATGCAATCCCAGGGAAGAAGATTCCAAGTCCCCCCAGAAATGCACCAAAGATTGTTGGGAACTGCGACTTTTGCAATGCTAAAGCCCCGAGATAAACAGCGAAGTTAAAGTTAGGACCTGGGAAGGCCTGAATGATTGCTAGTCCGAGAAGAAAGTCACGACTAGAGACCCAGCCAGGACCAACCACATAGGAGCGAAGAAGGGGAATAACAACTGGCCCGCCGCCGAAGATGACTGTACCAGCCAGATACATGTTGGTGAAAAGGTCAAGAGCCAATGGTGGCTGGTGGGAGACGCTCCTACCAACAAGAAGACCAATGAAGGATGCTAGAGTCGAGTTAATCGCATGTCTTAGGAGCCAATGAACGGAAACTCACCAAGGAAACAAACAATGATGAGGATTCCCACTCGAACACGGATACTATGAGCGGGTGCAGGATACTGTTCTACATCCTGATCAGGAGTATCTGTTGAGCTCAACGGCGCCGATTCCCCTTTAGGGCCAACGTTTCGCGATCGGACCGAATTCATTTGCGATGCAGCCGTGTCACTATTTTGGCTAGGAGCGGCAGTTTGTCCGCCCTCTTCCATCGGAATACTCTGCATAGTTGCTAACTCTGTTTCAGTGGTAGGTTGGACTGCGTGTCTTCCCCTCCATGCAAGCTTAATCTTCCGGATTCGTTGGCTCATCCATCCATCCCAGATAATGGTTGCCAGGCCGCCAACAACCATTAAGAGTGGGAAATACCAAAGGGCATTGTAACATAGTCCAGCACATGCACCGAAGATCACCAAGATGCGAGTGAGCTTATCGCGAATCGCCTTGTCGGCTAACTGCACAGCAGCGAGTGCAACGATGCCAACAGTTGAGGAGTTCAATCCGGAAAGAAGCGCATACACCGGTAACGGAAGGGTGTCGCCAATCTTCTGGACACCAAGGGAGAGAGCATACATGCCAATCGCTCCCGGTAGGCTACAAGGTTGTCAATACCATGGTAGAACTTACGAGAAAGAGACATTGACGTCTTACCTCCAAGTGAAGAAAACTAATAGCGCTGGAAAAAACCCAGCATGTAACAAAGTAAGGCAGAAGATCATCTTGGTACTTGCTGGGCCAGGAAGACCCTGGCATATTGCAAAGAGCTCCTGGTACTACCGCGAGCATCAGTCAGATAGTATTCTTCGTGAACGAACCCACAAGATAGTGTTACAACGCAACAGGACATGAACCCACAGTCTGCTCGTCTACCCAGTTGTCTTTCCCTCCTTTTCCTTGCACAAATCTCTCATGCAAAATACGAAAATGCACGGGAGGTCCACCAAAACTGGTGAAGCCTAAGTCCCAGGTTCGTAGAAACACCTCAAGCATGCGACTTGAGAGCCCATCGTTGTTTTCCTTTCTTCTCGCTACGAGTCTCTGCCACTTCCGGTTCAGCGATCGAAGAGAAGTGATATGCCGCGAAAACGAAGCTGGAAGAAGCATTTTTTGGAGGATAGCACAGTCTTCTGGGGGTATTATCTCTTCTGATTCCAGATTAAAAGGCGGGAAAACGTTCCACGACGTTAGATATAAAGGTTGGACCCTTCGCTTTAAAGTTCAACACGCCACAACTAGCCAATTATATTGCAGAGTAATGCCACGAATACGCCAAGATTGGGTGCCAAGATCGGCGACGAATCGGGGTCCCATTTAAGAATGGTTTATACGAAGTCAGGGGCTTTGCGGTTATAGAGAAAGCAAAGGGAGCACATATATAGGGTTTCCTTCTCGGATAACGAACGGGAATGAGGTGGAGAGCACGCGTCGAGTTGAACGAGAAGTCCATGCTACTCACAAAATTGACAGAGAAACGTCTCGTAACAGCAGCTATGTCCATAACACCATCATAAAAAGGATATACTGACGCCAAACAATAGCAAATTGACCTCCCATGATCAGTTATATTTGACCTTGCGTTTCCGTCACATCTTAAAGTTTTCCTGCGCGCTTTAACCGCTCCATCAGTTGGGGGTTGCGACGTATTTTTGCGAGCTGCAAGAACAGTTAGCGGCATTAGAATTCACGCTTGAGGCATCAAGAGAAAGGGACTATCTGACCATTCTCTCCCTTGCCTGTTCCCTTCTTCTGTTATCTTCCACGCGGACCACATCCTCTGTGCCTCTTATCAGCAGCCATTCTGTCCAGGCAGGTGGTCAAGTTGGAGCAGATACTCACCATTGAGACAGATTCGGCCGTCTTTATTCTAAAGAATCTTCGATAGATCAAGACTTCTGTCTTGATCATAGGCATTTCGGGTGGTGAGGTTACCGTGCAGAATCGGTCAACCGTCGTTCGTTACCTCAAGTCGGGGATTGCACATTGACGAGCTAATGTTGCTCTGGGGATCGGATGAACTGTAAACGAAATTGCCTAGTAGACTTAGTTCCATGGCCATTCCTCAAGATTCCTCAAGGATAACACTATAGCTAGGCGTACCATCATCGTTCCCCAGAAAATCATCCAGGCGGGTCTGGATCCAGATCCACTCCCCATTGTCTTTCTTGGCCTTGCAGTGGAGGTCAGTGACCCATTGCCTGTTGTGCTCGAGCTTGTGGTTCTTAAGGGACCACGAGTGGCAAGAGGTGGTGATATTCATTGTTCGAATTGGTTTTTGTATAGCAGATAGATTGAGAACTGTGGAAAGAAATTATAAAGCTATATGCTTCCTGCGAACTTGCAGACCCTTAAGTAGTCTCCCTTTAGAACCGCTCCTTGGATAATGAGTTTATTTAGATGTATGTAGACTGCAGATCTTGCCGTCCTTGGCAGACACGAAGTGAGATACGTACGCTGCATGCAGTGTTCAGCTGGAAAATACCTCCTACAATGAATCGAGTTTGTTGAGATAGGAGCCCTCCTTCACCGCCATCAAGAGCTGAACACTCCCCGCTTTGAATCAGAACTTAATTATCAAAAGGCCAGATTGCTCTACTCCGTACGGAGTATACTTTATTGCCATGGGAACCTTCCTCTGAGGATCGCAAGCCTCACCAACTCTATTTACAGCTAGCGTCGATCCGATGACTTGGGTTCTGCATAATTTTAAAAAAGCTTTGTCCATAGCATGATTGGGTTTCTGTAGTCCCTGTACGAGTCCCTTAGTGGACACCTTTCTCTGGCCGGGGAACCGATCGAATGTAATCGGCAGACACCTCGTGTGAGTTCTGTAAAGACACAGTCCCGAGGCAAGCTGATCATGCTGAGCTGGAACACCATGCGTCGGACAATCCAAGGCGCCTGTACTGATTGAAGGAGGCTAGCATCGACCGGAATATTGTACCGAAGGTGCGAGGAGCTCTAGGGTCTAGTGTCTCAGGGGGCTTTCAAGGGCTAGCAATGATCGGTATTAAAGTGCCTCCAATGTAGGAATCGAGACGGCGAATGATTCTTTTTCTTTCCACAAACTCGCTTGGATCGCCGATCAACTGCGGGATCCATTCCAGTTGAAATCTCGGTTCCAGCTGCCCCACAGTCCTCCGGTATATTAAGCGTCTGCAGAATGATCTTCGGTTCATGGCATCTTTTGTATGGAGAGCGCGTGTTTTTACGTCAATATAGAACTATATAAATATCTACTAATATTGTCAAAAGCAAGAGATTTCTATATAGACAACAATTGTCTTGTAATCACCCCCGCCTCGGTCTCTATATCTTTGAGGGACAGCACCTGACGTGTGTTTGACCTAGAAATTAATTGACCGAGCATTGATCTACAACAATAATATTTAATACTTCTAAGAATAAAAAGTTGAGACCAATATTGTGCACTTATTTGGCTTCAGTTAAGCGAAATCGATTTCTAGGGAGAGTGGAGCTCATCAAACCCTCAGCTTCGCTGATAAGTACGGAAAGCTCAGGGAACCCCAGTGAAACTCAATAGGGTGGAACGAGCTGAAGGCACAGTAACAGTTATAAATGGGTTCTACCTTCCGTGTGAATACTTGTCAAGGTATGCAGCGGTAGAGTGATCTACAGACAATCAGCGAAGTCTCCATACAACAGCAGAGGACTGACTTACAGGATTTGATGCCCTTGTCCACGTTCAGACTCATATACACCGGCCGGGCCTAAAAGTATCAGTAGTCATGCGACACAGAATATCCTTTGGTGTACGTACCGTAGCCTCAGCACCCTTTTCTAACCAGTCATGAATTGACCGTGCATCCTGGATTGTGGAATTCCAGTACTGAGGGAGTACATCGAGACAGGCTTGGAAAGACAGCAGTCCACTCTGTTGCATGCCCTGGAGTTCTTGCCGCGCATTTCGGATATTCTCTAGTTCTTTTTCGAGATCCTCTTTCTCACTGGCCTTCTGGTTTATCTGGTTTTGCACCCCTACAGGTAGTTAGCTCGCTAGGCCATGTCTATTCTGAAGCGTAGAAGAACCCACGTTCGGCAGCAATGAGCAGGCCTAAAGAGGCGCCGAGAGCGGCAACGGCGGTGATGAGGCCTCCAATCTGCATAGTAGTCAGTCGCTAGCCTCTAATGGGAGTAGGCACATCACGTACAAGAATCAACGGCTTGACAGGCTCAAAGACGGTCCCAAGCGCCGTTGCAATTGGTATCGCCGCTCCTGCGACTGCAGCCATTGACTTTTGGGCGGCTTCAATTGTATTCAACTTTTGATTCAATTCGAGGATATCTTTCTCTAGTTCCTTGATCTGCTCTGTGAGTTCTCCTTCTTTGTCCTTTGCCCACGAAGAGTATGTGTCTACGAAGGACGAAAATTTGGTCCCGATGTCCGAAAACCGTTGTTGGATGTCTTGGGCAGTCGCCTCAAAACTGTTGGTATTCTTGCAATGGCTGTTAGTGGATATTCCAAGGCTCGCCTGTAAGTTAACACACCGAGATAAAGCTTTTAACTTTGCTCTTGCGGTCCTCGACTGCGATACTGCTGTCCGCACAATACTCGACGATAATCGCGTCGAAGCCTACGACGCGATCAGATGTGATCAAAAGGCGGCAGGAGAGACCACTCACTTTTTCCATTCTGTGAAATATCAGCCGCTAGGGACCGACTGTCCTGAAGGACCTGGTTGTAATTCTGTGCAAGTAAGCATTGACATCAGAAGCAATATTGCTCGATCACTCTACCTGGCGAATACCGGCAACGGTATCGGCAAACCCCTTGTTATACTTTTGGTCAATTACAGCCAGCTTCTTCTGAATATCAATGAGACGGCTGTCAATATCGATCGCTGCTTGAGACGCTGCCGTTCCTGCCTGTGCCATCCGGTCCTGACCCTCATTAGATGAGAGGTGCTGTCCCGCACCGACAGTGAAGTCAGCCTTTTGCTGCTCCGTCTGCAGCGGGTAGTGGTCTTCGTAACCACTGGTAAGAACATTTATCTCCACGTCGGAAAGGGTGCGAGCAGCCTCAAGGGCCTTTTCGACAGTGGGATTACTGCCGAGGAGACCCTCTAGCTTTCCGGCGACCTCATCATACGATGGGGGGGAGCTATCGGCTGTATATGCGGGAAGAAAAGACATGGCTTCGAAAGTACAACAAGCTTGGCCACTGAGATCAATATAGGAACTTGGTAGAGAGTAGGGTTTGGGATTGTCTCTCCCAATACTCCTGGGCCTGACCCTATATATAGTCACCGATATCGCCTAGATTTGTATCACCCTCAATAGCTCATTGTATATCCATCAATGATCGCATGATGTGGCGTCAGAATCGCCGAGGTCACCATATAGCACGTTTGCTAATTTCTGTGCAATCTTGTGCAGTCAATCTCTCAGACCAAGCAAGCGGGGTAAGACGAGCGGGATCCTGCTGCATCTTGCCACAGTAAATTGACGTAGAGGTGTGTAGCTGAACATTGTCAAAGAGACAATGCATATTAGCTGCATATAATCCCTGTAGGTGCATACGCGCTGAAATGCAGGGGTCTCGTCAAGGTTGAATATCCGGTTTCGCCACGGCGTTGATCGGCGGTCATGCACGAAGCTCTTAAAGGTTGCATTTATCTAAATCTAGCTCTCCTTTCTTATTAGACCCCACTGCACCAGCTGAGATGCGTCAGGATAGGCGTCATGCTACATATTAAGAAATCGTGGACGTAGTGGGGAAAGCCACGTATGTAACCCTCATTTGCACGTCGGACTACCTCGGAAACGAAGGAAGGCAAGATAGTGCTCAACGCTTAAAATCATCTCACTAAAGTCGAAGGAGTTCCTTGTGTTTCTAGCTTCCTCCCCTTTCAATTCTCGTTGCTATTGTTGACCATCCTGCCATCCTGTGTAAACCACGCCATACGACATGTCTTCTTCAATACCGTCGACGACTAGCGTCCTTCAAAAATTAAATCAGCAAATTTCTACTCCAGCGACAGTTTCGGCCTGCCTTCAGGCCGTGTCTTTACTGTCTGAGGCTGAGCGCAAGGTCCTTGTGGAGTCCCCTGCCAAGTACCACATCACACCTACAGACAAGGAGGCATTCACAACTGCTGCCGTGCGGGCACTATCCTCAGATGATCTGGACCAAGAGCTTGGAGAGGCTGCCAGCGGGGCCTCTGATGCAGTCAATGGCATTCTTGAACTAATGGTGGGCCTTATAATCAATTTAGCATGGGGCGATTCGATGAACGGCACGCACCTCACTGAACAGTATGAGCCGATTCTGAGGGTAAGTTACTCTTACTATCGCGAAGCGGATCATGCTCTAACTACTATATTCCTTCGTCCTATAGCTGTACTGCAAGACCATGAGGGATGGGATTCCGCTTGCCAACACGATTGCTCAGTATGCGGAAGGTATGAGCTATGAATACATGAGTCTCACACCCAGGCTAAGACATCGCAGACTTCGACAATAAAGTCATTGGACTCTGTGCAGACAGTTCTCTAACTATGAATGAGCGTATATCGACAATCCAAGGATACATCAAGGTAACATGCTTTGTTTGCATTGGATACAGATTCTTCATTGACATCTGTAGGATGCGGAAGGGTACCAAACCACGGCAACTGAGATGCAGAGCACCCTAGAGTCTGTGTTTGAAAAAACCATGGATTTCATAAACCAGCTCGGGAGCCAGTCACTGAAGAGCGACACGAAGGAGAGGGCAAAGGGCTTCCCAGCACCGAGGTTAACAAAGAAATTCTCAGACGTGCCGCTCGATGTACAAATCCCAGCACTCAGGGTGGCGCTGAAATCACCTTTCGGGCCATACGTCATGGTATGTTGAATCTTCCCTGGACAGGCTAACACACTCTGACGTGATCAGATTGCTGGTCTGCTTGGAGTTGCTAACCCTGAGGCGACCATCGCGGCCTATTCTATTGCTGCGTCTAGTAAGCGTCCATATTATTTCCGCATCACAGCTGGATATCTAACAAGACTTAGTGACCAATCAGGAATATGTACCTATCACAACAGTCATATCTGACCTAGCCACGCAGGGTCAATCAGGAAGTGCAGAGGACACCAACACGGAGTATTTCAACGAATTTCGCGAGCATATCGGAGTTCTCGCGGGTTACTGGGGCAGTACACTTATTGATGCACGAGAAATCGAGTCATGGTTGAAAATGGGCGCCTCTCTCGTAGTAAGTTGTGCAACGTTTCATTTGGACTCTTGAAACTGATAAAATCAGGATATACCCACCTACATGGAAAAAGCGCTGAATGGAGGGGTCAAGCTCTGTAAGCTAGCATCAACGCATTATTCAGCTTGCATTCACTAATCTCTTGCTCAGATGTGAAAGTAGGCAAGTACTTGCGACTATACGCCGAACAGACCAGCCAGATGCCTTGGGATGACTGGGTTAATGCCGATGAGAATTCGTAGCTGAACATAGTGGGCTCTTGTGCTGCGTTCATCCCTATGCCTGACCTGACGTTGCCATTTTTAGTATTCTACACCTTTTTCGTATTATAGTATAGGGCAGGTATTCAATGCATCCTTGTCTGTCCTTTTGGAATGATATACGCGATATACAAGCTACGCCACTTGAACGTGTCCGTACCTTGTCATTGCTACCACGTAGCCCTAAACTACCGATATCCCCCCGTTCTATGTCTGTCTTGGACGTAGTCAGACCTACAGGATGGGGAATCTACGGGTTTACGTGTTTTTTTTATGTAATTCCATGTAAATCGTCTCAAAGGGAGGATTTGTCGATTCCGTCGTTGGCAGGGGCCGGTGCCCGTGAGCAAATAGTGGCGAGCCTCCCATCCATGTTGCAACTTTTAATAGTGAGGGGTTGTTATAGTTGCAGCGTGAAGGCGGGGCATGTGGCAATTTCTTCATGATTCGGCTCAAAGGTCGAGAATTCTTGTCAGGCCATAATCCATCTGTTCCCCTTTATACCACACTGCGTATAGCAATTCCAATAGGTAGACACTGCCTAGACGGAGAAATTGCAGCCTTCCCCTCCTGCACGCTAGACAATCAACCCTCAGCGACACCCACATACACCACGTCACCTTTATTACTGTATCGAGCAGCTCTTCATGCAGAGTTGAATACAAGCTGAACTATGGATTACTTAGCCAAGCTTTCCAAGATATTATTACCTTCTGTTCTTGTAGTTGGACGATATGGTGGCAATGTGGATTTCGAACTGCAGACGGGGAACATAATCCCTGGAGACCGAACAAATCCGACCCTATTTCTTCGCGGTGCAAGCGACATGGGGACCTGGTAGATTCAGCTGCCCCAGTGTCCGGACTTCTCCGCGACCCTTGAAAGCTCCACTGTAGGCCAAATATATCTCAGGCTGAGGGGGGTATATGACGTTTTAAACGGGAGACTTGCCAGTCCCTCCTTTGGAGAAGGGTTATATATGGCGAGGGACGCACATATTGACACAATAATCTCTTCTCTTCCAAGATATAGCACATCTATCTCATTTGAATCTTCACCTTACGCTCATCCATCGCGACTTCACAATGGCAGCTGTTCCTCCTCCGTATGTGGCTGGGGACTCGCCGCCCTCGTATGACGAGGTCGCCAGCAAGGTCAATCAGTTGGTCGGCAGTAGCCCTACCCCTCAAAAGTATCTAGACGTTGCAGCGTCGCTTTCCGATGCGGAGCGAAAAGTCTTGAAAGACGGGGCCGAGGCCCACAATCCAATCCAGACTGAGGAGGATAAGGAAAAGTTGTCGCTGGGTGCGGCGAAGACAATGTCCACGGATGAGACAGTGGCCAAGTTGAAAGAGGATGCAGCTGCTGCCGGCGCCGCAGTCGTGGCGATTGATGGCTCGTTTACTGCGTTACAAGTGCAGATTGCGAGCATTGATCAGCTGGAAAAGACGAACTTCTTGACCCAGTTAAATGAACAAAAAAAGGTATAACCTATCCATTCTTTCTATGTACATATGCCGTGGCTAGTATGCTAATATCCCTCTGCAGAAATACCGCGACGTCCTTCAGAAGAGCCGCCTTTTAGCAGCAGATATCAGTCAATATGGTTCTAGTAAGTCAACAGATGTGCTCGGCCGGTTGTCCCTAGGCTTCCTCAAGCTAACGCCTGCACCTTTAGGCTTCGATGAGCTGATTGTTCCGCTGTGTGCCGACCAATCCTTAACTGTGGATCAGCGGCTGGAACAAATCGACAAATTTATAGCCGTGAGTGAGCCATGTATATGCAATTTGTCGGCAATGCTAATTCGTTCGTTACTAGAGGGCAAACGACTTCCAGGAGCAGGGGAACGAGATCAATAAAAGTTTCGACACCCTAATTGACGGTTTCGTTGAGTTTACAGCCCAGTTCTCTAGCTGGGGCAAGGATAAGGAGCAGGAATTGAACAATGATATTAAGGAAATAGACAAGCAGCTAGCGGAGCTGACACAAAAGTTGGCCGATTTGAGGACATCTCTAATCGCACTCGGTGTCGGTCTGGGAGTCGGGCTATCTGCAGCTGGTATTGGTCTTGCCCTGTCGGGACCTGTTGCCCCATTTATCCTGGTATGTATATGAAGAGCTTCCCCTTGCACTCGCTTCTTTGAGCAGTTACTGACCCAGGGAGATCGGCGGCCTGATTTTTGCCGGAGCAACTGCGGCTGCGGTGGCCGGCATCGCCATTGCTATGGGCGGTACGTCAGCTTTCTTGTTAGCCTAGTTGATTAAATGTGAAGCTTATCTCTACAGTCGTATCGAATCAAATCGAAGAGAAAAAACGGGAGAGACAGGATAAGTCGGACGAGATCGACAAGATTCGCCTAGCCCGACGTAATTTGGAGGATATGGGCAACTCGCAGCTGACCGTGTTCCGGGATAATGTGAAGGTCCTCCAGAGCTACTGGACTTCAATGCAGGCGGATGCGGAGGCGATCAAAGGCTGGCTGAAGAGCGGGGCCGATATGGCGGTACGAAACCCTTGAAAAATACGAACGACCCGTAGGGAGTTCCAGTGGCTAACCTTTCATATTCTCGATGTGTTCATGCAGAATGTGCCCAAGTATATGAAGATTGCGCTCGATGAAGCGGTGACCGTCTGTAGGTTGCCATTTGCCCTCACACTCATCGCTCCCCTTCAGCTAACCTTGGTTACAGATGCATCCATGGCTCAGTATATGGATGAATATGCGAAGGGCACCAACCTATAGGACCTCGGCATGTGGTCTAGTTAGTCTGCGGTGGTCAGGTCGATATCTTCTATGCTTCCTTGTGACTTTTTACAGGACTAATGATGACATGAATGGAAAATTATCGCGGGGTCGTTGAAAGCGGGAGCGCAGCTAGATTGTATCTATGAGCGATGAATACTCTCCAGGCTTGACTATCCATATCTCTTCGTAGTCATACTTCAGGTATTGCCTAGCAACTGCCCGCCGGTATACTCTTCCTTCATGACCTCAGCCTGATACAGGCCGATTTGGAGATTAAAGTGTCTTTCGTTCTGAAACCTGTCTGTTTGCTGAAAACTAGAACCTCACCAAAAAAGCATTCCTTCAAAGGTTCTGATTTGTACGCTATATACGCAGTATTATACTATCAACCTTGTATAACTACTAGAGGGCCCTGACATATATCACAACAACCGGGGCATGCATGTAACACACTGGGGGGCTATGAGGATACCCCCTTTCACCAGGAGTCTCTGACCCTCCGTACTGACCTCATCTAGCTTCATTGGTCACCCTTTTATCAACGTGCAACATGAGAAACTATACAGAATTGCAGTGCTGGACATAATTCTATACCAAAAGCGTGTTTCGTTCGGGAAGCAGAGCAAAGTATGGCTTTCAACATGGGCGTGAACAAGCGCGAGATAGTACATTACTAATCGGCCTGTAAGATGTCAGGATCAGCAGAATAGAACAGGCCGCAATGAAAATGCTTGATGTAGGCAATTGGAAACTACTGAACTAGCGGTGACTCAAGCTTTATTGAACTATTCCCGATCGCCATTAGTGCTTATCTCAATATCGAGGATGCCTAGTCTTCCAAGAACCTCTTTGTGCTTACGACTTTGTTCTTTTCAGCAATTTATGTCTTTACTCTGTAAATACGTGTTCTCCTACACTTAAAATCCTGAAGATATGTTCGCAGAAACCTCGCCTGACGCATTCTGGGGGATGCAAACTGCCAAATCCAAGTCAGTATGCCATGCTGCTTATTGTATGGGCAGCCACCAGCTAACATCTCGAAAGCTTTTGCGAGCAGGTCGGTAGCTACCGGAATGCCATGAGAACCTTGTATATGGTACTTGGTGCTAATACACGTCGAGTTGGGGGGAATAGGATTATGCAGTGACAAGATACATCGCCGAGTTCGTCAACAGTTTGACCAACCTTGTTTACAGTAAGTGCTGACACTAATCTGCATCCTTTGCCAGTCAAGAGTCTTACCAGCAGTGCAGTATTCTACGCCATTTATGGACTCCGCAAACTGCGACAGAAATCGAACCACGATGTCTTTCGTGCTATCCCGTACTGGGGTTTGATGGCCGTTGGAATATGCTCTGCCGCATTTCATATTAGTCTCAAATACCACACCCAGATGTGTAAGTTGCATTCATATTCAACATCGACTGTGATTCGAGTTAGCTTACCATCGCCATATGTTATGGTCATCAGTGGACGATCTCTCCATGCTCTTTACAACGACCCCAGTTCTACACCAGGTCTTGACCGTCAACGCCACCCGCAGAAATTCGCTTATGATAGCTATCCTACTATGGTCATCTCTTCTGAGCTTAGTTGTTTATCATGTCAGAACGGATGAGCTTCTTCTGCACTCATTGTCCTTTGCTGCCATGGTGATCGTCATTGGGATCCGAACTATGCAGCTTATCAACGCCCAGACACTTCCAGGCTCAGCGGCTCGGAAACAGATATGGGGGATGGTAAGATTCGGAGCAGGTGAGTTCTATCATCACCTTCCATTTGTGTATATATTGACGCACAGGATAAGTTATTTTCAACTTGGGATTCTACCTCTGGTTGATTGATACCTGGATATGTGCTTTTTTGAGAAGTACGCGGGCGAGGATTGGCCTTCCCTTGGCCTTTCTATTAGAGCTTCACGGTTGGTACGTCTGTACATGTTTTGATCTCACTTGTTTCCGTTTTTTCTTTCGTGCCCAAAGCTTATGCTAGAATGCAACAGGTGGCATATCTTTACTGGAATTGGCGCCTACATCTTCATTGCGGTGGTAGATCACCTCGTGTCTGGTGTGAGTCATGATGCTATCGAAGAGTCTTTTGCCTGGCCTGCTTCGTGGGCTTCGAGGTCAGTTTTCGCGGGAAGAGATCCTGAGGTGGCTCATAAGAAGCAAAGTTGAAGGTGCGACCATTCGTGTTCTAGACCTAGAGGTTGAGATTTTGCCAGTACTACCTCTGCATATTATCTCTACACTGTACGAATATCCTTTGCAGCGCCGAGGTAGTAGACTGCGCTTCAGGGGAGAAGCTACTTTTAACATGCACTATCTTGGTCCGGAAGAAGACTTACATATCGCTCATAAGATAATTCTCTATGTACGTTGTATTGATCCTTTATCAACAAAGCATATGTCCTATTAGCTCTAGTTCCTGAACACCATTAGACCCTTTAATGTCAAACCCAGACCCCTTTAGTTTGGCAACGGCCAATCTTCAAAGAATGTAGTTAACCCCCGACTCATCGAACACGCCATGATACTGCCATGCTCCTCACCCTCATACTCATTCACAACGACAGTATGTAACCGCTTGGTACCCTTCAGCATCTTGACAAGATCAAGTGCATTATCGCCCATTCTTAAATCCGAAGCAATCTGCTTCCGCGCTTCATAGTGATCGAGAGGCTCGTTGTTCCACTGAGGTGGGCTTTGTTCATGAGACCCAAAGAACACCATCAGCGACGGGGCCTGCTCATCTGCCGTCGTCTCCTTCTCTAAAAACGCCTTGGCTTCATGCAATATACACCGGCTATTCCACCAAATCGAGGGACTGCTCGCGATGTAGCAGTCAAAGGACTGCGGACGTGTGAATAGTGCGTGCAAGGCAAATAACCCTCCATATGAATGACCAAAGAGAGCCTCTCTTGAAAAGGACAATTTTGGGAATCGCTCCTTGATCGCGGGACGAACGGCGTTATCGATGAAGTCAAGACATAGATCCGCTCCTCCGTATCCGGGTATCTGCGCTTGTGTGGGTGGCGTTAGGTCTAAACTGCGGCGACGCGCATCGTATAGCTTTCCGTTTAATGGGTACCCGATCGCGACGACGATGCCGCCGCCGGCGAAGTGTGACGAAGCTGCGCGACGCCAGGCAGCTTCTGTCGCGCTGAGGAATAGTGCGTTTCCATCGACGATGTATCTGGCTTTTGTTAGTGAAAATATCGGTTTAAATTTCTCGCTGGTTACTAACATGATCGGAAGTTGCTCGTTCCCAGTAGGGGGGTCATGGCCTTGCCAATGCAGTGGCCAAGAGACTTGGATCAAGTGTGATTCACCCTGTCCATTGTCCAGGTAGAATTGCTCCGAGTTGGGAAGCGTGATTCCAGCTGGCTTGTCGCCCATATTCGCGGTTGAGATCTGTCGAGAGTGTCGCGTGAAGCTGGAAACAAGCGGCGCGCGTGGTAGAATAGTGGCACGGAGAAAGTTGTGCTGGCTGGCTGGGACGAAAGTATTTTTGAGAAATCGCCTCAGAAGGGGGGGCTTAAGGGAGACCGAGGCCGCAGCCAGCGTTCGGGTCCACATACTGCAGACGAGGGGCCAACTACGGACTGCTATACTGGGTGTCTGCTCCTTATCTGATGAGCCCAATGTCCGACGCACTAACTCTTAGTGCCGGCGGGGGACAAACGGACACCCAATCGCCTCCAAGACCGGCTATTTAATCAGATCAGATTAGATCATGGTGGTCCGGAGGAACTCTCACGGCGTCTCGTATCCAGTGGGTTCGTATGGGTCTGAGTGAGCTCGACATGGTAATTGGTTGGAATTCCTGGTCTCCGGAATCATATCCTTGGTTTCTGGTAGAAAATATGGGCTTTCATTCGTACAATTGTTGCAACTTTGATCAATTGACCATTCAAGCCGTTGGCCTCCTGCATGTTAGAAAATCTTCCAAGGACTTCAACTGCCAAATTCCTTCCGGATCGACCCGAGTCCAATCAAGGAGAAACACGGCATGGAGGGCGAAGAAAATTCCATGGCTGGATTCTCTTGGGATTCAACTAGTGGGATTAGTGACTTGGCAGTGGGGCCCATAACATTGGGTTTGTCATGGGGAGAATCTTTACGTGAGCTCTCATACAAAGGGATCAACCCTATGGCTAGGGGGAAATGTAGCTATAAAGACCCCCATGACTTAGCTTCCTAAGGTCCAACTACGTTGACTAATCCCATACGCAATATATTCATGAAGGTCTCGGCCCAGAGCGAAGATCTCTTCGTGATACTTGCGAATGCTAGGAGACTCTCAGCTTGAATTTGGATCTCAGTCTGTATTCGAAATACGTAAATTGCACATAAGGCTGGACTTAAATCTGTGTGCGGGCGTAGACTACCTTTCAGTGCCAAGTCCTACCTCTAAAGCGACCATTTTCCCAGTACGATTTTCGTCATTCACAGCAATCACATTCCAGCCCCCCTTTGATATTTGACCTTGTACTGGGGTAGGCTATGATGGTTGTGGTGCATGCTATGCTCAACAGCAGGTATATAGAAATCTTTGGAGTTGTATGGACTCATATTTCCGAAGTAGACCCGGACAAGCCTTGGCAACAGCCATTCAGCGATTATGTAGGGATCTGGTATATGCAGTGAACATGACTTGACTAGACAGAAAACCAGCACGGCGTGTTAATATAATGAATGGTACACCGGCGTGGAGGAAATGCGCTCTTCACAGATCACACGCTGAAATTTATATATATTCAAGGTACGGAGATAGGAGCAGACACCCAGCTGAAAGTGTAAGCTACCAACAGCCGTGAAATAGCTGAGACCACCAAATTTGTCACATTAATCGTAGACTTGACTTCCTTCATGCAAGTATTGGACCAGTACCCTGGATGGAAGAATGGGTGAGAAGTTTTCCGCTCTCGGCAAATGTTGGGCGGATGGTTGCCACGGCCATTTTTAGCTGCTTCGAGCGGCAAGATCCTTTTCTAATTACCGAATTTGAATGCGTAAATTTCGCCTGGTCCAGCCAAGCGCGTTATCAGTGTTGAAGTGGATCACAATGGATCCTGGAGGGTTTAAGGGTCTGGGCATAATGTTAGAACGGACACGATACATACAGGACGTGACCATACCATCCAATACCATACGCAATGCCTGACCAAACGGAGCCCTAATCAGATGCAGCGACTCCAATCCCTGGCCCCTTGGCATCAATATTGCGTGCTCTTGGCGGCTGCTCGCTTGAAGAATCCGTTCGGATCTGATAACAGTCGAGTGTCGGACTAGTTTCTGTCCGAGGTCGGCACATTGCTTCACAAAGGGAATAGAACGGTCGAGTGGAGGCGCGATGTGTCATGCCCAGAGAACCAGACATTGCTTGCGTCTGATGGACTTTTGCAGGCGGGAGCAGAGTGCCGCCGGAGCTTAGGCTCAAACGCATGAGTAGGAATCCCGGCGAGGATTGTACTTTCATCTTTGCATGTTTGTCTGGCTGCTTGGTTCGTTGCTCGAGATAGAGTAACGACAAACCTCCCAAGGCATCATGGGTACTGCATCTGAAGCGTCTAAGGACGCAGAGGCGCCTGCTAAGCAAAGTGTAAGTTATTCTCTAATCTATTCTGCACGAAGTGTTTTAACTTATCGCGATGTCCTTGTCCACAGCTTATGCGGCGTGCCACCTCGTTCGGTCGTTTGCTGGTCTATGGCAACCCCTCATCGTCTGACCTAGCCCTCCTCTTCGTCGGTTTTATTACTTCAATCGCCTCCGGAATTCCCTTTCCTATTATGTCAATTGTTTTTGGACAGCTCGTGGACGGACTAAACTCATCAACGTGCAACGTCACCCCCTCCAACGCCGACTCCTACCAAGCGGGAATCAACGATAAAATTCTGCTGATTGTATACATCGGTATTGCCTATTTCGCTCTTATCTATATTTACGTCCTTTGCTGGAATCTCTCTGGCGAGCGTCTAGCCCAGCGTCTGCGAGAAAAATATTTCAGCGCTATCCTGCGACAAGATGCCGCATTTTTCGACAACCTCCCCGCCGGAGAGGTGTCTTCACGCATCACCGGGGAAATCGCCGTCATACAGCAAGGCTCTTCCGAGAAGGTCGGCATTGTGATCAACAGTGTCGCATTCTTCATCACCGCATACATAGTTGCCTTCATCAAGGACCCGAAACTGGCCGGCATGCTGGTCTCCCTCACCCCGGCGTACCTGATCATGTCTATCGGCGGAGGATATTTCGTGCAAAAGTTCTTCGGCCGCGCTCTGGAGGGTATGGCAAAGGCCTCATCGGTCGCGCTGGAAGCCTTCTCGAATACAATGGTCGTGCAAGCCTTTTCGGCAAATGCACGCCTGGAGGAGAAATTCGTTGAAGTCTTACATCCTGCTTTGTCTGCCGGCGTGTGGAAGTCCATTGCTGCAGCCACTCAGGCGGGTCTTCTATACTTCATAGCTTTTTCGGCCAACGGTCTTGCCTTCTGGCAAGGATCGCGTCAAATCGCAGACGCTGTGGAGTCTGGTGGCGATGGAATCACGGTGGGAAACACGTTTACGGTTATTCTCATTCTTGTGGATGGTAAGTGTATCAATCGCAGTGCGCTTTATGAGTTTGAGCCATGCTAACTAATATCGCCCCTAGCGTCCTTGATTCTCAGTCAGGCCGCTCCCTTTTTGCAGAGCTTCGATGCCGCCGCCGTCGCTTTCGGTAAGCTGGAAGCTGATATTGACCACCCGACTACCATTGACGGCACCTCTGAGGATACCGGCCGTGTGCTGCCAGAGGTTACGGGAAATGTGGAGTTGAAGAACGTTTCATTCACGTTCCCATCCCGACCGGACAAGCCTGTGCTCCAGGACCTCTCATTGACCTGCCCGGCTGGTCAGCAGACAGCTATTGTGGGACTTTCAGGCAGTGGCAAGTCTACCGTCGCCGGCTTGATCACCCGGTTCTACAATGTGGACGAGGGCGCGGTACTGCTAGATGGCCACGATGTCAAGGACCTCAACGTGAGATCTGTCCGTAGCCATATCAGTCTTGTACAACAGGAGCCATGTCTTCTGGACCGGTCCATCCTTGAAAACATCGCCCTGGGGCTCATCAACTCCCCAAGACATGATCACCTGCATTCCATTCTAATGAGCAGCGTTCTCGCCGACGTCGC